TGTGGTGGTGTGGTGGTGTGGTGGTGTGGTGGTGTGGTGGTGTGGTGGTGTGGTGGTGTGGTGGTGTGGTGGTGTGGTGGTGTGGTGGTGTGGTGGTGTGGTGGTGTGGTGGTGTGGTGGTGTGGTGGTGTGGTGGTGTGGTGGTGTGGTGGTGTGGTGGTGTGGTGGTGTGGTGGTGTGGTGGTGTGGTGGTGTGGTGGTGTGGTGGTGTGGTGGTGTGGTGGTGTGGTGGTGTGGTGGTGTGGTGGTGTGGTGGTGTGGTGGTGTGGTGGTGTGGTGGTGTGGTGGTGTGGTGGTGTGGTGGTGTGGTGGTGTGGTGGTGTGGTGGTGTGGTGGTGTGGTGGTGTGGTGGTGTGGTGGTGTGGTGGTGTGGTGGTGTGGTGGTGTGGTGGTGTGGTGGTGTGGTGGTGTGGTGGTGTGGTGGTGTGGTGGTGTGGTGGTGTGGTGGTGTGGTGGTGTGGTGGTGTGGTGGTGTGGTGGTGTGGTGGTGTGGTGGTGTGGTGGTGGTGGTGTGGTGGTGTGGTGGTGTGGTGGTGTGGTGGTGTGGTGGTGTGGTGGTGTGGTGGTGTGGTGGTGTGGTGGTGTGGTGGTGTGGTGGTGTGGTGGTGTGGTGGTGTGGTGGTGTGGTGGTGTGGTGGTGTGGTGGTGTGGTGGTGTGGTGGTGTGGTGGTGTGGTGGTGTGGTGGTGTGGTGGTGTGGTGGTGTGGTGGTGTGGTGGTGTGGTGGTGTGGTGGGTGGTGGTGTGGTGGTGTGGTGGTGTGGTGGTGTGGTGGTGTGGTGGTGTGGTGGTGTGGTGGTGTGGTGGTGGTGGTGGTGTGGTGGTGTGGTGGTGTGGTGGTGTGGTGGTGTGGTGGTGTGGGGTGTGGTGGTGTGGTGGTGTGGTGGTGTGGTGGTGTGGTGGTGTGGTGGTGTGGTGGTGTGGTGGTGTGGTGGTGTGGTGGTGTGGTGGTGTGGTGGTGTGGTGGTGTGGTGGTGTGGTGGTGTGGTGGTGTGGTGGTGTGGTGGTGTGGTGGTGTGGTGGTGTGGTGGTGTGGTGGTGTGGTGGTGTGGTGGTGTGGTGGTGTGGTGGTGTGGTGGTGTGGTGGTGTGGTGGTGGTGGTGGTGTGGTGGTGTGGTGGTGTGGTGGTGTGGTGGTGTGGTGGTGTGGTGGTGTGGTGGTGTGGTGGTGTGGTGGTGTGGTGGTGTGGTGGTGTGGTGGTGTGGTGGTGTGGTGGTGTGGTGGTGTGGTGGTGTGGTGGTGTGGTGGTGTGGTGGTGTGGTGGGTGTGGTGGTGTGGTGGTGTGGTGGTGTGGTGGTGTGGTGGTGTGTGGTGGTGTGGTGGTGTGGTGGTGTGGTGGTGTGGTGGTGTGGTGGTGGTGTGGTGGTGTGGTGGTGTGGTGGTGTGGTGGTGTGGTGGTGTGGTGGTGTGGTGGTGTGGTGGTGTGGTGGTGTGGTGGTGTGGTGGTGTGGTGGTGTGGTGGTGTGGTGGTGTGGTGGTGTGGTGGTGTGGTGGTGTGGTGGTGTGGTGGTGTGGTGGTGTGGTGGTGTGGTGGTGTGGTGGTGTGGTGGTGTGGTGGTGTGGTGGTGTGGTGGTGTGGTGGTGTGGTGGTGTGGTGGTGTGGTGGTGTGGTGGTGTGGTGGTGTGGTGGTGTGGTGGTGTGGTGGTGTGGTGGTGTGGTGGTGTGGTGGTGTGGTGGTGTGGTGGTGTGGTGGTGTGGTGGTGTGGTGGTGTGGTGGTGTGGTGGTTGGTGGTGTGGTGGTGTGGTGGTGTGGTGGTGTGGTGGTGTGGTGGTGTGGTGGTGTGGTGGTGTGGTGGTGTGGTGGTGTGGTGGTGTGGTGGTGTGGTGGTTGGTGGTGTGGTGGTGTGGTGGTGTGGTGGTGTGGTGGTGTGGTGGTGTGGTGGTGTGGTGGTGTGGTGGTGTGGTGGTGTGGTGGTGTGGTGGTGTGGTGGTGTGGTGGTGTGGTGGTGTGGTGGTGTGGTGGTGTGGTGGTGTGGTGGTGTGGTGGTGTGGTGGTGTGGTGGTGTGGTGGTGTGGTGGTGTGGTGGTGTGGTGGTGTGGTGGTGTGGTGGTGTGGTGGTGTGGTGGTGTGGTGGTGTGGTGGTGTGGTGGTGTGGTGGTGTGGTGGTGTGGTGGTGTGGTGGTGTGGTGGTGTGGTGGTGTGGTGGTGTGGTGGTGTGGTGGTGTGGTGGTGTGGTGGTGTGGTGGTGTGGTGGTGTGGTGGTGTGGTGGTGTGGTGGTGTGGTGGTGTGGTGGTGTGGTGGTGTGGTGGTGTGGTGGTGTGGTGGTGTGGTGGTGTGGTGGTGTGGTGGTGTGGTGGTGTGGTGGTGTGGTGGTGTGGTGGTGTGGTGGTGTGGTGGTGTGGTGGTGTGGTGGTGTGGTGGTGTGGTGGTGTGGTGGTGTGGTGGTGTGGTGGTGTGGTGGTGTGGTGGTGGGTGGTGTGGTGGTGTGGTGGTGTGGTGGTGTGGTGGTGTGGTGGTGTGGTGGTGTGGTGGTGTGGTGGTGTGGTGGTGTGGTGGTGTGGTGGTGTGGTGGTGTGGTGGTGTGGTGGTGTGGTGGTGTGGTGGTGTGGTGGTGTGGTGGTGTGGTGGTGTGGTGGTGTGGTGGTGTGGTGGTGTGGTGGTGTGGTGGTGTGGTGGTGTGGTGGTGTGGTGGTGTGGTGGTGTGGTGGTGTGGGGGTGTGGGGGTGTGGGGGTGTGGGGGTGTGGGGGTGTGGGGGTGTGGGGGTGTGGGGGTGTGGCGGTGTGGCGGTGTGGCGGTGTGGCGGTGTGGCGGTGTGGCGGTGTGGCGGTGTGGCGGTGTGGCGGTGTGGCGGTGTGGCGGTGTGGCGGTGTGGCGGTGTGGCGGTGTGGCGGTGTGGCGGTGTGGCGGTGTGGCGGTGTGGCGGTGTGGCGGTGTGGCGGTGTGGCGGTGTGGCGGTGTGGCGGTGTGGCGGTGTGGCGGTGTGGCGGTGTGGCGGTGTGGCGGTGTGGCGGTGTGGCGGTGTGGCGGTGTGGCGGTGTGGCGGTGTGGCGGTGTGGCGGTGTGGCGGTGTGGCGGTGTGGCGGTGTGGCGGTGTGGCGGTGTGGCGGTGTGGCGGTGTGGCGGTGTGGCGGTGTGGCGGTGTGGCGGTGTGGCGGTGTGGCGGTGTGGCGGTGTGGCGGTGTGGCGGTGTGGCGGTGTGGCGGTGTGGCGGTGTGGCGGTGTGGCGGTGTGGCGGTGTGGCGGTGTGGCGGTGTGGCGGTGTGGCGGTGTGGCGGTGTGGCGGTGTGGCGGTGTGGCGGTGTGGCGGTGTGGCGGTGTGGCGGTGTGGCGGTGTGGCGGTGTGGCGGTGTGGCGGTGTGGCGGTGTGGCGGTGTGGCGGTGTGGCGGTGTGGCGGTGTGGCGGTGTGGCGGTGTGGCGGTGTGGCGGTGTGGCGGTGTGGCGGTGTGGCGGTGTGGCGGTGTGGCGGTGTGGCGGTGTGGCGGTGTGGCGGTGTGGCGGTGTGGCGGTGTGGCGGTGTGGCGGTGTGGCGGTGTGGCGGTGTGGCGGTGTGGCGGTGTGGCGGTGTGGCGGTGTGGCGGTGTGGCGGTGTGGCGGTGTGGCGGTGTGGCGGTGTGGCGGTGTGGCGGTGTGGCGGTGTGGCGGTGTGGCGGTGTGGCGGTGTGGCGGTGTGGCGGTGTGGCGGTGTGGCGGTGTGGCGGTGTGGCGGTGTGGCGGTGTGGCGGTGTGGCGGTGTGGCGGTGTGGCGGTGTGGCGGTGTGGCGGTGTGGCGGTGTGGCGGTGTGGCGGTGTGGCGGTGTGGCGGTGTGGCGGTGTGGCGGTGTGGCGGTGTGGCGGTGTGGCGGTGTGGCGGTGTGGCGGTGTGGCGGTGTGGCGGTGTGGCGGTGTGGCGGTGTGGCGGTGTGGCGGTGTGGCGGTGTGGCGGTGTGGCGGTGTGGCGGTGTGGCGGTGTGGCGGTGTGGCGGTGTGGCGGTGTGGCGGTGTGGCGGTGTGGCGGTGTGGCGGTGTGGCGGTGTGGCGGTGTGGCGGTGTGGCGGTGTGGCGGTGTGGCGGTGTGGCGGTGTGGCGGTGTGGCGGTGTGGCGGTGTGGCGGTGTGGCGGTGTGGCGGTGTGGCGGTGTGGCGGTGTGGCGGTGTGGCGGTGTGGCGGTGTGGCGGTGTGGCGGTGTGGCGGTGTGGCGGTGTGGCGGTGTGGCGGTGTGGCGGTGTGGCGGTGTGGCGGTGTGGCGGTGTGGCGGTGTGGCGGTGTGGCGGTGTGGCGGTGTGGCGGTGTGGCGGTGTGGCGGTGTGGCGGTGTGGCGGTGTGGCGGTGTGGCGGTGTGGCGGTGTGTGTGTGTGTGTGTGTGTGTGTGTGTGTGTGTGTGTGCATGTGTATTGTATGTACACCGCATCTACAAGCACACTATGAACAAAGAACCTGGGATTTCGAAATCAAATAGTAGCATCACTGGCCTGATTCAGAGACGCCCGGCCATTCTGTGTGGTGACAAAACAATTGACTTCTGGTAGTTCCTATGTGTTATGTCATTTTTTTTAGATCCGGTTGATTAGCGTATGAAGATGTGCATATTATAGACATGCCGTGCTTTGGATAGGAGGATCGGCATTGATAAGCCTTGGGCATCCGCTATGCACATAAAACGGCGGCCCAGAGACCATCACTTATGGCCACCAATGCTCTATCATAAAGGTTTAGTATTCTCATCCCAGCAGCAACCGTTCCACACTTTGTTTCATACAGTGAAACCTGGTTTAAGTGACCACCCCACGGTGCATGCAAAGGCCGTTGTTAAAGCCAGGTGGTCTTAAGAACCAGGTCCCACATCGTCGGTGTAGAACTGTCGGTGCATGGAAAAGCGGTCGTTAAGAGCAGGTGGTCGATAAACCCAGAGAGGTCGTTTACATCAGGTTTTACTGTACTTGGAAACTCACGCTTCTGTGAATCTACCCAAGCTTTTGAATAAATTGTCTCCGAGAAAATATTTAGAAACTGATACGAGTAGTGTGTTCTATGTGATCTGATGTGATCTGTTTTTGTGCTGTGTGTCGTTTTTCTCTTAGAAAGCTGTGAACATGGACATTGCGAAGGTTGACACTGGACTGAGAGACCCTCTTCTGGTGGACTTTTTGGCATAGAGTTGGAGGTATTCCATGCCGACGACAAGATGCATGCTCCCGCAAGACCTACATGTATGGACACATGTGATAGCTGTTGTCTTATTGCTCTAAAGTAGCATTATAAAATGTAAAAGGCAGCATTTTCTGTGGCACACCCAAGCATCTCCCGAGGAGCCTGTTACACAATGTCAGCAATATGCCTGATTGACGTTCACATCAAAACCTGCACTATTGTTGTCAGCCAGAATTTCAAATACACTTCTCTGTTCCACAAAGATTATATAAACAGCTTGACACTTTAATACCTTGACCAGGGTGCAAAGTATAATTCGTCGACAAACACTTTCCTTCAGTACTATGACACAAAATTTAATTATTTTTTACGGCTTAGAGAGGCACCTTTCTAGCTATTTGCAGGATTCTTAGAATGCCTTTTCAATCTCACCTTTCTATTATAGAATCTGAAATTTGCAAAGAGCATAGCTTTTAGACTTATCCGTAGAATATAGCTATCTTTGTGCTCTGCACAAGCAACATTACATTTTTGAAGATCCCACAATTTGTTTGGCATGTTTTTCGCCTTTGCATTGGTGGGGCTTTTAGTAAACAATAGAATAGAATGCAATACACAGTATGACCCTGCCATGAGCTCGCTTTGCGGATGTGCGGATGATTTGTATTAATAATATCATTCCTTGCGTCTATTTTGGATCCCCGCACTACCCTAGCATAATTATAACGATACGATAGAGGAATTTCCCTGTTTGAAGACCTGTTTTAGATGCTGGTGTTGGAGTTTCAGAATGTGCACGAAACTGCGTTCTGCAGTCGGCTGTTTCTTGACTTGAGTCTGTCCCTGCGGGAATTTGCAGAAAAATTCTCGAAGACTTGCATAAGAAATTGCGGCAGAAAACAAAAAAAATGCTGCAAAAAGAAAGATCCGGAACTTGCAAGGAATATGCGGAATTATTTGGAGAAAAATGCGGATTTGGGCCAAATCACGAAATTTGTTGCATCCTTAGAATCGCTATTTGCGCAGTACATCTACATGTACTCGAGAGTAGTACTATTAATAACCTACAGGATCATGGAAAGAACTGCGTGAAAGCGTAGAAAAATGTAAAAAATAATGCATAGAACAACCCAAACGCGGGAAATCGCGGATTTCGCACAAAATCGCGGGTTTGGGCCAAACTCGCGAACTTTGTTTCATCCATGGAATCGCGATTTCCTGGGACAGCGCATTGCGCAGTTGAGGCCAACTCACCATTTTGAGCACTGCTGTAGCAAACTACTTACTGACCTGTCGACGTGGACATGGAAATCCGGTTGCACTCTAGCGGCCCCAGGGCGCTGGCCATGCAGCCGTGGGTAAGCAGTACAATCATGTCAGGTTCTGTTCGTGCATGAGCGCTGCTGCAGTGCCCTGGTCGCATCGGATCAACATGACTTGTGCACTGCAATGCAAGGTTCTGAACTAATTACTTCTGTACGCGCTGAGCTCATGAGGGCGCCGGCCGGCCCCGGTCAACCGACTGGATTTCCATGTCCAAGACAGTAGTTCTGTCAAAGACGTAGTGACGTTTTGACTTTCTAGTGCAACCGTTTGCCCCCCCCCCCCATATATGGCCATTAGCAATACCATCACTCAGGTTTGGCCTTATCAATATCATTCCTTGGTGTCCGATTATCCAATGATGATGCTAGCACGCATAGACATGGCACACGCGTGCATGGTCGAATACATCCGATGTTTGGTCCTATCTTTAATACGAAGAAGAACTTGGAAGCATCTTCCATCATCATGTCTGTGTAGATCTACCAGGCGGGTGCTGTTGACTGACAGTGAATTGCTCCGGGTAGACGGGCTAGCTGCCAGGAATGTCGCTGAACAAGCATGTCTGCTTTCCAGGTCTTTAGAATCCACATTCTTACACCGACTGTTTAAAACAGGAATGTCGCTGAACAAGCATGTCTGCTTTCCAGGTCTTTAGAATCCACATTCTTACACCGACTGTAGAGTTGATCACTCTCTGCCATATTACGGTATATGACAAGAAGGACAGCACCATACCAGTCACTCGCTGGCTTCCCAACAATCGGAAACATTCTAGACCACCTGTACTGTTCTCGAATCACATCTCGCAGCATGGACGGGAATGGTAACAACGACATGTTGTATCATGTTCGCCATCACACCAGCGATCTGTAAGACAGCAGCTCAACCGACCGGCACGGATCTGTAATTTTCACAATACATGTACATTGATAAAAGAGTCGACAGTGGACACAAACAAAATGCCGATGCCATTGTGTCGCACATGCTCTAGATTTCGATCTTGACCCCGTTTTGCCTGGGCTAAAGTACAGTGTAGTCACATCTACTGTTACCGTACTGCGCATTCCACGGAGCGCTGTAGACCATCTTGTATAAGTGGGCTGGTTCCCTATCGTTCGGTGCCCGAAATTTGTCTCGTTCCAACAATTGTGTTCCCACGGTTTGATCAGAGCCTGGATTTGCTGCTCCCTGGCAGACATTCGTCTCACATTGAACAGACTTGGAGCAATCCGCTCAGGTTTTGATCGCTTGCTGTCTGTCATAGCTGAATCCCAACACATCGGAAGTTACCATGTTCGTCTTCGGTATATGCTTCGGCTTTATTTTAGCGCAAGGGGTATCTGTCAAGTGTGAAGCTGACGAAGCCGCAATAATCATCAATGTTTCCCCGATGGACCCCGCTAGTTTTGCAAGCAAAGAAGAAAGCGTTCACAAGCGCCATGGGAAGGTCTGCGGATGGACGTTTGCGCCGTGTTTCAGCTTGCAGGAAGCCGTTGACACTGCCGTGGACTTGAGAGCCAACGCCAGCATGCTGCTGGCGTACGCAAAGAATCAAAGCGAGAAAGGTCAGACTGTGCCACTGACGGCAGACACAACCGTACCCATCGTTGTGAAGCTGAACGCACGGGCTGATGTGTCAAGCTGCTGTATACTCGCACAGCATTCTCCACCTTTGTCTGCTGAGGGGAGTGGTGATCACACTCAGAGTCACCAGGTTCCAGAAGTCCGCGTGAACCAGTTGGAGAACGTTCACATCCAGGGTTCTCTGGATAGTGGGTGTCAATACGCCTATGTATGTCACTTGCCTATTCCTCCCGGAGCAGATCAGTCGCCCAGAACTGACGGCAATTACACTGCAGAACCACTCATTGATATCAGAGGCAGTTCGGGCATTTCGTTTCGAAATGTCGCGATTAATCAGAGCTATGTTCGCGGAATGGCGTCCAGGAAAGTACTGATCGATATCTACTATTCGAAACTGATCTTCTTTGACAGGCTCGAGGTTCACATGACCTCTTGCCGTACAGAAGCAATAAGAGTGAGGACGTCACAGTTCGTCTACTTCCGCCGCAGCAAATTCACTCGGAAAGCATCGCAATCGGAAAGTCTGCGATTTTTCGAAGTGGACGAAACACTGCGAACTGTTTCGATTCAACTGTATGGTTTTCGTGGTGCAGGAGGTAACCTCTCGCGGGTTGAGAGAGCTGCCATTCTGAACCAACTCCCCGAAAAGTATCACTACACAGTCACTTGGCAAACAAATAATACAACGAGCAGAAGAGCATTTGACGGTTTTATCCCTGTTCCAATCATTCTTGTGAGCGAATGTACGTTCCATGAAGTCGGTGACAAGAATTATCCTCCCGAAGACCAGCGGACGAAAAGCATCTCGCATGAAGCGTACAGTGGAGTCGCCATCGACATAGTCTTTGACGGTACCACAGACGTCTCCGTACTTGTCGAAAGGTGTTCTTTCGCCAACAACAAATCACCATTCGGGGGATCACTTTCTGTACTGTATAATACTTCTACTGTTGCCCAGCCAACACTTCGGAATAAAGTCCTGGTCTCTCACAGCAATTTTACGTCGAACATTTGTGTGAGTGGTGCTGGCATTCTTGCGCGCTTCCGCGGCATAACATGTCGGTACAACGCTCTACTCGTGCGAAACAGTTGTTTTGCGGAGAACCTCGTCAGCAAGGAAGGAGCAGCCGTTGGAGTGTTTTTCCAGTTCGACAATTCCAAGCTAGGCAACATCGTGCACTTTTTGAACTGTTCTTTTCGGAAGAATGTGGCTCAGCTGGGTGGTCATCCCACTCCGGGTGGTGCTGTGCTCATTCGATCCGGTGCCGGGTTCGCAACAACCGTCTCGCCGTCCGGCGATGGATTCAATCATCCGACAGCGGCTTCAGTAGTCTTGGAGAACTGCGTAGTCGAGAGGAATGAAGGCTTCGCAACCATCTACATCATTAGTACGAGAGTGACATTCCTGGGCGAAACGTAAGTAAAATAGCTTTGCATCCACTCACATTTCTATCATGGTTTTTTTACGAAGTACACAACCTACTCGTCAGAAGGGGAGAAGACAACATAATGTACAATAACAAAACAGCAGGGAGAGTAGGGGCTGCAAAGCAAGCCTGTGCTGGTGAGGCAAGCCCACAACACCAACCTCTGGTCTTGGCGTTAATGTGGGCTTGCGCACCATAGCCGAAAAGAAGGGAGTGATTTAGTGCGATAAAAGACAAGAGAAGGTGAGGTAGAATGGTTGAGGAGAGAGAGAGAGAGAGAGAGAGAGAGAGAGAGAGAGAGAGAGAGAGAGAGATGCAGCGTGAAAAGCCAAACAAGCCTAAAGAACCGACTTTGCAGATAAGGCTTACCGCCAACCGTATCATAGGCTGCCTTACTTAAAACTATGGTTTGCTTCAAAGTTTGCATCCAAGTGCTAACCTATGATTTGAGGCTGTTCCATACATCGGGGGCGACATCCATATCGAATTATTATGGTTCGAGCCAGGGAGTTGGAAACTACCAGTATTTTACGGCTCCCTGGCTGGATCAACTTCGTCATGGGCTCTATTCGCTTCATAAACAGTTTCTTATTTAGAACATGATTCAAACCTGTTTTTCAAAACGTTACTTAGAATGGTCAGTCGGTGATCGTAGGCAGAAAAAGGCCTTTTCACCTGCAATAGTCTCTACTTTCGGCACACAGTGTTATTCACAGCATGACGCCTAGTTCTGTAATGTTTCTCTGCTCACAGAGTGATCTCCGAGAACAAGGTAGGAGCCATTCTCCTATCCAGATCCTGTCTCACTGTCAAAGGCCGTCTGTACGTGCTGAGGAACTCCGGCAGTCAAGGCGGTGCACTGCAGCTCCTGCAGTACTCAGTGCTTGATGCCAGAAAGGTAAATCCAGCCTATAGGTTAGTCCGGTTTTGTGCTGTGATTACGCTGTAGGTTGAACATGTATAATGGACGGGGGTTCGTCTTGGTGTTGGAGAGTCTAAATGCCATGACATGTGCCCTCTCTATACTGAGGCAATTTGATGACAGGACAACATAGGGGAAATTATATTTACTGCTAAGAGACGACGGAAGCATAACTGGACATAAAAAAACTGAAGATGAAGACTACCCTTTCTCACACCAGCAATAGCCACATTCACCTACATGTTCACAAGCCGTACACAAAATGAAGTACTGCAACAAATGGAGAAGCCCTGGATGCCTTCCCCCCCCTCCCCCACCCCCTGGCTCCATTTTGTAGCTGTGTGAGGAATCACGGTCTTCCTCCCTCTAACCCAGGCATAATCTGAATTGTTCTGATCAGTGCTGTGGTAGAGCCATGGTTGCAACAGTGGCTGTGAACGCTAACTATGCCGCTGCTCCAGTTCTTGTGAGGATATGAGTGCCTCGCCAGGGAATGACAAAAACACATTAATTGTCTAAGCCGTCAAGTTGACCGAATAGCTCGGAAGAACCTGCACACACACTGGTGTTCCTTTGGACTTGTTTGCAGGCGGACTTCTTGAACATATCCGGAAACGTTGCGTCTAAGTTTGGCTCGGCTATATTTGCGGGAGAATCGAGCAGCACCGTAACAGAGGAGGATGTACTACACGAGGCTGGTCATAAGCGTAGCCCACATTCCTTGGCATGCCCGATCTTGTTCCCAGAGAATAGTACAGTTCGTGACCAGGCCATCAAGGTAAGAAGGGAGTGTTAGCACTGACAACACACTTCCAACAGTCCTAACATGCTGGTCAATGTATTGTGACACCGGTCGCTGTGCAGCCCCAGACCTGTCAACACTGAGCTGTGCACGAGTGCAGGCACTGCAGGGTACAAACGTGACCCACGGGATTCAATTGAGCAGCGATGCACATTTGAGAAGTGCAAAATTTGAGTAGATTATAGATGTAAATGCAAAGAAAATCTACAATGGAATATATGTTCAAAATAGCTACTTCATAAAGTAGCCACTTCCACCTTGTCAAGTATCATCAGTGTCGCCAAACCGAGTCTCTCCATCTGTCTCCGTCTGTCTGTCTGTCTCTCTGTCTGTCTCTGTCTGCCTGTCTCTTTGCTTTTTTGTCTGTCTGTCTGTCTTCTCTTTCTACTTCTCTCTATATGTTCTCACTGTCACTTTCTAGATCCTGTTGGAGAAGAACACGGCCATCTCCAGTACACAGAGAATCATCAACGTCGTGTACATGGCATCCCTTCTCCGCTGTGTGTCCGTGTTTCGCCAATACCTGAGCACGGCTCCCACTGAGGGGCACAGCGGCTTTGCGCCGTTTTGCTACTGCATGCCGTACCCACCCGGTGCATGGGAGCAGCATGGAGGCTTGGCCGATGGGAACGGCGCCATCACCAATGGTAAGATTCAGACTCCCATGGTATACTGTGAAGCCGGAAACCTTTGCAATCCGGAATCCGTAGCAGTTTTCGCGATGAGTGTGAGGTCGCAAAAGTAAGCCGGCGCGAAACGTAGAACTGTAGTAAAGAAACTGAGGAAACTGACTCCAATCGCAAACATCTCCAGGTGCAAGTTTTGTCTGCGCTCGCAAATTGCGAACTAAAACAGGCGCAAACGTTTCAGGGCTTACAGTACTCACGTAATGGAGGGTGTTTGTATGACATCATAATACAAGTAATGTTTTGTATAGAGTAGAGTTGTGTGAATGACATCATCGAATATGCTATGTATGGAGTAGGGTTTTGTGAATGACATCATCACATATCCCTTGTATGGTGTAGCGTAGGCAGTGCTTCCGATGCCACTCCAAATTCCAAATTAACCACCTCAAAGCATGATGTCATCCCACAACCTCTACACTGACATTCTGTAAGACGAGTCATTCAGCTCAGTACCTACATGTACGTCCAGTATTAAGATCGACTTGCGTACCCTAACAGAATCCATAAATCAGGCAAAATCAGAAAGTGCAATGCAAAGATCTCAGTTCGTTGTCGTACATTGTGCACATACTTCGAAAACGAATAAAAGAAATCATTGTCACTATAAATGTGCTGGTCATCGCAGGTCTAGGGCTTTTGTAGCTGGTTATCCTGTTATGCTTTCCGAGTCACATTGCTGATGCCGTTTCATACTGTGTGTTTTGTACAGAAGCAGATTTCCGGACTCTTCGCTCAGTGTACTTCCAGGAGACGCGGTTCCAGGAGATGTGTCTCGTTTCCGGCTTCAACAGCTCAAATGTTTCCTCGTCACACCTTTCAAATGTTGTCGATAGCTACAAAGGAGTGGATGACCGGCCGAGTGGCTTTGCAAGTGGAGTATGCTACGGCAACCTCACCACCGAGTATGGCCTCTCTTGGCAGAATCTAAGCATGTACCGGAACGTGTGGTGCGGCGCCGTTAACCCTGTGTTTCACCAGCCCGACCGCTGCTATAGCCGAGTGCAGGACACGTACGTGATAAATCTGATCTCGCATCATCCCTGGGAGGCCTTCAGTCTGGGTACACGGCCCGGCTGGATGTTCTTCAGCTCCAGTACGACGTCCTGCTACAAACACATCGACGGAGAGGTGTGGTATTTCCATGATGGCTGCAGCAGGGAGAATATTGTGGACCGTGTACAGAGCTATGGGTGAGTTGGCTTCATGCATTTTATGGGAATTTCATCTTGCGCCGAAGGGATAAATTCTTCGAATTCACATTGCTCTCGCGAGAAGTCCTAAACATTTGGTCACATGCCAAGTCAAGTCGGTAGGGAAAGAGAGAAATCCAACGTTGAAAGCAAAGAACTTCCTGACTGGTATACAATGGTACATACATTAGGTAGCTGTGCCCAGGATTCACACAAGCACACTTCCGAATCATCATGCTTTCCACGCGAAATCAAAAACTGGACATTATTGAAAACGCATTGTGTGCATATGCATGCATGTGCTTATTGTGTATGTGTGTGTCACAGTATGTGTGCTTATTTTGCGTGTGTGTGTGTGTGTGTGTTCGCGCGCGCGCGCGCGTGTGTGTGTGTGTGTGCGTGTGTGTGTGTGTGTGTGTATCTATGGTTGTATGTGTACGTACAACCCTGACATATTTGTGCACAGGAAAAAGCTGAACTCCGTCACGGACTGCTCTCTGTTCCGCCTGGCCTTTCTGACTAACCGCGTGCAGAAGACGATGACACCCATGCTACCCGGGTACCGCCTAACACTGACGCCCTGGGCTGGAATTGTGAACGATTGGACGCGGGAGAATTTCCTCGGCGAGGAGGTATGCCAGCAGGATGCAAGCAGAGAGAAGCAGGTCAGCATGGCCAGCATAGCGAACCTCACACTCCACCCGGCGCCCGGCGAATACTTTAGTCTGAACGTCACCCTCGCCGACGAGCTATTCACACACCGACCTGGAACGGTATCTGTGACGGTAAGCTGCACGATTCATGCTGGTTTGAAGCAGTTTGCAGCTCTGAGTTCAGTAGTTTTGATTTGCTCAGCGTGTGCATGCTCCACTGTAGCCACTTCATCTCTCATACAGTCATAAACCACTACCCAAAACGCTCTCTAGGCTACAATTCTTCCAAAAATATACTTCTATCCAAAATTTCGAGCCAGGTCCATCCTCAGCGGTTGCTGAAGATAGTCTTGATGTATTCTAGGGCTGAGTCGGGTAGCATTTTCTTCGGGTATCGGGTTCGGGTAGTTTTCCACGGGTAGCACGGGTACCCGATCGGGTTATGGTTCCATGGTAACACCACAATGCGCCCCTTCCCTTACACGCTGGATAGACATGCGGAGTATTGCATGAATTTGTACACGTGCACTGTACATGATGTCATCTGCGATTTCGGGTTTTCAGGTACTATTTTGTACCCGTCTACTCGAGGTCCTCACGGGTAGCACGGGTACCCGACTACCTGTGCACACCACTAATTTATTCACATTTGTTGTGCTGCACCTGGGATACATGAAGGCTCCAATGACCTATATCCTTGATATAAGACAGAATAGGAGTGCATCGAAGCTAAAGAAGAGAATTTCCGGACAGACTCTGTCTCTATGTAACCATGCAAGCAAAGTGTGCTGGCCTGGGGTGGATTGCGGAATTCTAAAGTGGAGTTAACTGACGTCAAACAAAGCTCTCATCTGTACTTCTCCTCCCGAAAGTCAGTACCATGATTTACACACGACTGTATAAGTACTAATTTTCGTTCACAAAGTCTTTCGTTAGATCACTCCACCAGCAGGCTTGTTATGTACTAAATTTCGTTTTTGATCGAGGTCTGTCACCCCGAACGTTCAGAAAAAAAACTTTAGTTTGGTACAAACTTCAGTTATTTCGTGCCCCTAACGAATATAGCGAAAGTTTATTCCAAACGAAAATTTGTACTTGTTCAGTATGTACAGTATGATTCCAGTTCCCTTGCATTGTTTGTTCCTGGGCTGTGGTACAGGCACACATGCGCGCACACATACATACATCCACCCCCCCCCCCCACACACACACACGCACTCATACATGCGCACTCTCCATGCACTCATGCAGAATTCCCTGCTCTCTGCCTACGTGTCTTTCTTCGTCTCACATGCATTTCTATGTCTCCAGGTTGTAAGCAGAGGGAACAATGTGCTGATGGGTCGAAACGACTATGTCTACAAACCCCATGAGGCCGAGGTGTTTGCATCACATCTAGTCTTGGATCGGCTTGTTCTCTACGGGGCGCCCGGCTCCTCCGGTTACCTGTTCGTAACGGCTTTGGGTAAGCAGGTGCGTCGGACACGGTACGATCACTACAGTATTGTCCGTACCACTCTTTGCCCCAGGTACCCCGTGTATCAATAAAATGCACTGATTTGGGCTCTGAATTTCCCAAAGTCTCAGCCACCCTTCCACTCCCGACGAGTAAACTGTGCTTGAGATGGCTGACCGTACCACACTAAAATACCTTCCGACGCCCCTGGCAGGGCATGTGGGATTTGAATGCTATGCATTAAATCAAAAATCCATTCCCTCTCTTCAATCTAGAAGTCTTGGACACCATTTGTTTCTTACACCAAAGTCTTGGAAATTTCGCTTCAGGTGCAACAGGGGTATTATCCTTGTCTTCCACACTACAGCATGACCAGAGCTCAACTTTGAAATAGCTACATCTGGCAGTAGACCATCTATTTTTGGAAAACTGACCGACGCTTTAGGATTGCTTTGGGTGTGCACCACGATCAAAGTGACATGATCAACCCTGCAACAATATTGCACACGCGCCTTGTGTGGACTGGTATGTCAAGCAGTCCCAGGTTTGGAACTCAATACAATAGCGTATACAATCTGATCACATACTGTAGTGTCCTGTATAAAAGCCTGTCTCGTATAGAAGCCTGTTTTGTATAGAAGCCTGTTTTGAATACAAGCCTGATTTTTAAGATAAACTGCCAGCACATAAGCTTGGTTTAGTATTGACATACATAGAGATACGTGGTTCGAATAGAAGCCTGATCTGAGTAGAAGTCTAGGACTGACATCGGCTTCTACAGGCATAAGCACAGCTTTTATACGTGACATTTTGTAATGCCTAAACTGTTGCATTTCTCCCTTTCATATTGTACTTACAATGTCAGGGAGCATCAACTTTTATCAGATCGGAGAGGAGACACTGAGCCTCCGCATTCCGTTTTCCCTGCGTTCCTGCCACTTGGGGTTCAAAAAGATGACTCTGGATCAAGATCAAGTAAGCCAGTGTGCAGCGTTGCCACAGCAGATTAGCATGGAGAACTGCCCATGGCCACTGGTCAATACAGCAATGTTTGTCAATGAGTCTGTCTAGTTAACCATAGAATCTACAGAGTAGAGGTAGGAGTTATGGACATGCTCCGAAAGCAGTCGTGAAAAGTCTACCCTTGAACTGTGAATGATGGGAATCTAACAGGGTTGTACTAGTTGGTCTTAATTGGGACAATATATTGACCTTTGATAAATACCCACACTCATTTGTGACCGCACCATCAACAGGATCAAATTCAAATAAATTTGTTTGACTCAATAAATACCACTGTACTTTTCCCTGCAGCACTGCACTTTTCTCTAAAAAGGAGTATTTTATAAACAGTATTTATTGGCCTAGTGGTATTTTATAAACAGTATAATTATATTGGCTTTTGGGCCAATAAATACTGTTATAAATACTCCTTTTTAGGGAAAGTGAAGGTCAACATATGTATAATAAATGTAGTAGCCTCAGGATTTATTGCAATAAATCCTTCGGCTCTACATCTATTATATACATAAACTGCACTATTATACTTAGAAGTAGGACACACTTCAGGCTCAAAATTTTGAAAGTTTTCACTAGTTTACTTTGATGCCTTATCGTCAGGTGAAATACTGGCAAAATCAATGAACAGCACAGCACTATACCGGTCTTTTCACTTCACATTACATGCTGACCCAGGCGCGTGCCCCGTATGGGTTCCTGGGTGCCCGGAACCCCCCTTTTTTCGCTCAAAATGCTGGATTTTGCTTCATTTTTTGAAAAATTTCCCGGGGACGCCCCCCGCAACCCCCCCCCCCTTGAAGGGCACCGGCGCACGCGCCGTTGACCACCTTCCCATCTGGAAAGACCCAATAAAGCAAGTATGACGTATTGCAGGACATACCAGTAGCTCTGCGATAAGGTACAGATCCTTCCATGCCCTAGGGTACGCTGTACTGAAGTTTCAATATAGAAACGGTACACATAGCGTAGTGGTGGTGCTGGTGCTAGTTGTGGTGGTGCCGGTTGTGGTGCTGGTGGTGCTGGTGCTTGTGCTGGTGCTGGTGCTGGTGATGGTGTAGTCAATTTCCTCAGAAGTTTCAATGTTCTAGTGTTGGGGGCCATCCGTAAATATAGATATTTATTTAGAAACGAAAACTAGTGGTTTAGGGGGGAGGGGGTTGAGCGCCTGATCATTTCTCGAAAAATATCGATGCATAGTTTGTATGTGTGTGCACATCCGGAAAAAACGAAATAAACATCGATACTATGTACCGTTTGTACGTGTTTGTTTCTCAGGGAGGGGGCAGGGGTTGAAGAGAAATGACTAGTTTTCGTTTCTAAATATATATCAGAATTTACGCATGGCTCCTTAAAGTGTTGTAATATTAGGTAATATTAGGGTACAGTTCATGACTTATCTCTGCTGTTCGTTTTCCTGCCAGGCTCAGAACATTGTGTCAGCATTCTCTGAGGAGCATATGGCACGTGGTAGGTCATCAGGTGACGTCAACAGTCTGAACATAACGCATGCTTACATTCGGAAGACCATGGCCTGCCAGTGCGCGGAACAGCACGACGACGAGTGTGTCAAGGAGTGCCGAGACGGACGTCGAATCGTCGTTTTCAGACGCTGCTGGGCGGGAGATGTCAACAGCAATGGCACGGAAGAGGGGAAAATTCAACGGGCATTTTCGGTTTACAAAACCACTGACTTCTATGGTGAGAGTGGTATGAACCGTATGCGGGCCTGCCTGCCTGGCCAATGCGGCCGACATTTCGCAGCATCACCGTGCAACACGCGCGAGTGCACCAAGAAGAACACCAGCTATACGTGGATACCGGACGTGGACGTGCCCTGCAATGCCGAGTGCAACTGCGGTGGAAACCTGTGCTCCAGGTGTGTCGAAGGCTTCACGCTTCAACCAGGTTCTTCAGTAAGAGGCTCTGCTCAGCAAATGGGCTAAAATGATGACTGCTACCGAATATGTTCTGTGCAAGCTATATAAATAGGGACAAGGGTGTTACCAGTTGGCCAGATGTTTATCTCCGTATCAGAACTCCAGTGATTTTAGTTTAAGAGAACCGTCAGGGCTGCTGGGTTAATAGATATCCTTAGGTAAAAAAACGCTAACGTAAACGCAAACCTTTCCGTACTTCTGATCGTTCAAGCTGACTTTTCCCTTAGCACAAAGTACGTTATAGTTGAGACGAAGTAGTCGTGACAACCATGGCGATATGAATTTTTGTGGAAACAGGTGCGGGAAATTCAAAATTTTGAACCAGGGATTAGTTTGCTGTCGTTCCGAAAGAATACCTTGGCGAGGTATTTTACTCTGGAATAGCAAAAGAATGGTGAAAATGAGTTTTCGCTGTTCCCAGGTCCTTGGAAAACGTTTCCTAAACGCAGCACCGAAGACTGTAAGGGTTCTCCAGCTCCAGAAAGTCAGGGAGAGGCCGATGAATTTCTTCCTCAGGAGTGCCGTGGAACTGGCCCTTTGTTTCCCAGATGGGATAGAGGGAGAAAGGCACGAAGCAGAGGAGGCAGACATTGTCAACTGAATGGCAAAACTCGCCAAAAATAAATGTCACAAGAGGAAGCAATCTCTCGACTCTCATCTCGATCTGCACGACGCTTTTTATCTCCCGCCAGTTACAAAACAATGCGAGTTTTTGCATTTTTTGCATAATTTCCATAACGAACGTAGGCCCGTTATTTTGAGCTCTGTAAAGTTTTTCCGTTATCCGATAACGTCTTTTGTCATGGCTGGGAGTGAGTACCGTAAAAGTTAGCGTTATCGTACTTTTGCTAAGGATGTCTATTGTAGGAATACACTGTATCAGTTTCTTATCCCGTTATGCCACTCTCTCTTGGCCTGTTAGATGATCAGCTCACAACTGTTATTGCTCTCCTGGTTTCAGCTCTGTGTCGACTGTCGCCGTGCCAAGTTCAAGATCCCGTTTGTCATGTTTTTCATCCTGGAGTTACTGGCAAGTGTGTTGCTGATTGCAGCGCTGCTGTTCTTTAACATCGGACTGACAGCAACACTGGATAGCTGGTTCTTCTTTTCACAGGTACATGAAGTAACTCAATCACTACCACTGCATTGTACAATTACAGCTACTTTAGAGTATCTCTACAATGTAGCGGTATGTGTGTGTGTGTGTGTGTGTGTTTGTGTATGTGTGTGTGTCTGTGTGTATGTGCGTGTATTTGTGTGTGTTTGCGTGTGAGTGTGTGTGTGTATGTGTGTGTGTGGAGAGGGGGGGGGGGTATGTGTGTGTGTGTGTGTGTGTCAGGCATGTGCTGCTGTGGAGTCTTTTTGACTTCTGAATGCGATATGTTTCAGTGCACCATTACGGTGGACAAGGGGAAACAGTGTAGGAACAGTATTGAGACTAAAGCTTCTGTGGTTTGCTCTAATTGACTTATGTTATGCATGTCAACTGTTGTGTGCAGTCTGTAAAATGGCGTTAACACTCACTGGATATCACATGCTCTACCTAGCTGTGAGCCATTTCATTACTTGCAAATCCATCTCCTTTCACCGGTGTTGACCATCATTATCAAGTCTTCTACCATTAAACTGCTATATCCGTGCAATCACTATGGCTGCCTGTCCAAATTGGCCAAATCCCAGTACATGTAGCTTCTCTGTTAACAGAGCTTTGATTTGGCCCTAGTGGCCCGTAGTGCATTCACAAATACTCATACTTCAAACGTAGTTGCGATGCATAGCCCCCGTGTAACACATTTGAGTATCGATGTTATGGGTGAATTACCACTGTAACGTTTCATGGAAAATGGTTTGGATGCGGCTTCTGATGGTGTGTGTCTCTTGTTTGAAACTGGTTCTCTCTTATTCTCTACTCAGGTGTTCTTCAGTGCGTTCAATTGGTTCTCTCTTATTCTCTACTCAGGTGTTCTTCAGTGCGTTCAACTGGTTCTCTCTTATTCTCTACTCAGGTGTTCTTCAGTGCGTTCAACTGGGATCACTGGCTGAGAAGAAACGTATCGCAGAGCATTCTGACACTTGGCTTCAACTCGATCTGCCTCAGCGACGCGGAGTTAGTGTCGGGACTGCCGGCAGTGGCCTGCAGTATGTTCATTCCACTCGTGCTGCCCTTTCTCACACTGCTTCTGTGGATGCTGGCTCGGCGCGGCCATGGCCTGGCCTACTGGAAGCGCATGCAGAAGCGCAACTCCATAGTGCACGTATTCTGGCTGCTGATCCTGGCGTCCACGTCCATCCTGCCCTACGTCTGCTTCAAGCTGCTGAAATGCGTGCCTCTGAATGGCGTACAGGTGTCGTATGTTGACGGCTATGTCCAGTGCTTCAGCAAGCCACACATACCGTACGTGGTGTTTGCGCTGCTCGTTCTAATATGCATCGTAGCGCCGCCGTCGGTACTACTACTGTGGAGGCCGCTGCACATCTGGCCGTCGCTGAAAGGGTTCCTGGACGAGGCCGGCCACATCTATGAGGACAGGTACCGGTGGTGGGCGGCCGTCAACTACCTCCGGCGTCTCGGCCTGGGCACGCTCAACTCCGTCATGGGCACTGGCGTGCGAGCACGAGTGGTCACAGTCCTCGTGCTGTGCTCGTATTCAGCACTTCATGCTATGTTCAGGTGAGATAACCCATGCATGGTGCACCTATTTGGCACTGTTCAGGTGAGAACCATGGTGCACACATTCATGAGCAGCACTTCATGCTATGTTCTGATGAGAACCATGGTGCACGCATTCAGCACTGCCTGCTGCTATGTTCACAAACCATGGTGCACGCATCTGTGTCTAGGATACCTAGAATAGAGTTCAATTACGGCGTCCCGTACGCAGGCTACCTTTCCTCCAATGAACATGGTGTTAGCTCTCCGGAGCTAGCACGATGAGTAAACTTACCTCCTAACTTACCTCCAAGAAATTAATTAATACTGACACAGGTAACCTAGTATCTCTTGGTGGACAATGCAGGCATAACAGTAAGCAGAATTTCCTGCTTTGGCTGACATGTTTCCCGCATGTTAGGTATTCTAGATCAGGAAGTGGGGCAGAATAAGCGAGCATTTTGCCATATACTCTGCCAATTTCAATGCTCATTGAGCAGAATCGGCTTATTTTTTTAAGCATTATCCACGATGCTTAGCGCCCATCCTAAAAGGTAGGGGAATCGAAATGACCAACATTTCGAAATATGAGAATATTGTTCATTCGTTAGGTTTAGCGGAAGATGCCAACGGGAAAAGTCTGAAGAGAAAATTGATTGTCACTACCAGGACTTGGACCCTCGCTTATGGCTATTTTTCACTAAATATACTATTTCTTATGTCGGATGCCATTTTTATCATGAAACATTTCTTTTGTGTTACCTTGTCCTTGTGCAGACCATTTCGGCGATCCACCAAGGTGTGGTGTGTCACTGACTTTGACAATGCATTTGAGCTTGTCCTGTTGACTCTGCTGACCTGCTTCAGCTTCACACAGGTGGTCTGGCTGGACATTCCGCCCTGGCATCGACAGAACGTCCTCGGCCGCTCCTGGTCAGTGTCGGTGTCAAGTATCTACTGCGTTGTGACCATCGTTTCTCTGGCCCGGGTCGTGTGGGGATTGGTGAGGAGTTGGAACGACACGATTCAACGACGACCGCGCCAGCACGTGCCTGATTATCGTGCTGGAGAGGACGGCAGTAGTTCGTCTGAGGCAGTCCTTCTGCCCACCATCATTCCGAATCCAGCAGTCAGCCCACTCCGGGTACGTAGCCCCTACCCGCCATCCAGTCCCAACCCGCCATCCAGTCCCAACCTGCCAGCCATTCCCATGCACAACGCACCGCCCAGTCCGCGGCACTTGAGCGCCTCCACTGGCGATACGTCTCAGCACAGCCAACCCAGTTTTCTACTTCGTGTTCACTCGGATGATGCCGACAATCAATCACTTCCCGAGCCAGTTTCTCCTCGAGCTTTAGCTCATCACATGTCGGTATGTACTTGTCTCGTCTGTATACTTGTAGTCTCAAATCTACACCGTATTTCCTCTGCAGTCCATTCAGGAAAAGATGATATTCTAGCTTTTGGCCATAAATGTGCCAAATTAGGAGCTTTTTCACAATTTTTTTTCTGCTACACCCTATGCTCTTCCAATTATGTTTCTGAAGTCCACTTCTCCGTAAAGCAAGCCATAGCAAGCATAGGTTGTGTTTTATAAGCACTGCATTGGGAAAGGCTATGAAAATCCACTCCGTTTCACTCTACTTGCATCACTGCATTGTGCGGTTTGAACCCCAGCTGAGGTACCTTTTTTGGACCCTTTTTCGAACCTCAAATTCCGCGGCTCTCCACACTGTGTACGATAAAATCACGACAAAATGCCAAATACGGGAGCTCGCCAGAGCCAGCGCTCATCTTTTTTTTTTTTTACGAATGGGCTGTAATGCAAGTACAATTAACATCACCTGATAAAATCCCAGCCAAGCATCAGGTAGCTACCGTATCGTTTCAATGCGATCACTTGAATAGTACGCAAGTCCAGTTCAGTTCCGGAAAGAGAACACCAACCTCATGGATAAAGTAGCACCGTGTTCGAGTGCACAGAATAATGTGCGTAGTGCCACAGCTGGATAGCGTACGGCGCTATTTTGAGAACGTGAACAGTTAGATGGGACAACATTTCATTATAGACGGAGAAACTGAGACAAAGACTACCGGAACGACTACATTGTGGAAGAGAGAGACAAGAGAGAGAGAGAGAGAGAGAGAGAGAGAGAGATCAAGTGAGGGCGGCTAGATAAAGGGCCTGGTTAGCTATGGCAAATATGGGCGCGCAAGTAGCTACCCAGGCCAACGGAACAAAAGGTGACAAAAGGAGACAAAAGGTGAGTACGACGTAGTGCAAGTATAGGGTGTATGCAGGCCAGCTTGGAAAAGGTTGTACAAAGTACGGGAGGAGGTACCTAACAAATACGAAGGTCTTAACTGTGATATTTGGAAGAAGAAAAAAAAACATGTCGCGCAGAAACCTCTGGCAATCCGATGAGACCTTTAGCGTCAGTGTGTCTGACCTTTGGATGAAATACATGTATGGTACTTGTCGTTCGGTGCAGATCTACCTCGATATTATTGTTTTCCGTTTGTTTGTGTATCCCTCTATACGTGTGCATGATTGTCTCTGTGTGAGTATGTGCATGGGCGTGTGACGAGTGTGTACATATGCATGTGTGTGTGTGTATTTGTGTGTTTGTGTGTGTGTGTGTGTGTGTGTGTGTGTGTGTACATGTGTGCACGTGTGTGCACATCTGTGTGTGTATGTGTGTGTGTATATATAATAATATACATGTAAGTATGTGTGTGTGTGCATGTGCGTGTGTGTGAATGTGTGTGTGTGTCTGTATGTATTATGTGTGTGTCTGTATGTATGTGTGCATGTGTGTATGTGTGTTTTATTTCCCCTGTCAGGTCTGTCCAAGCTCAGGAGGATCAAGCTTACGCGATCCCTTACTGTCTGACTACTTGAGGGAAGCTCGCCATTGACAGCAAGCAAACTGTATCTGACAGCGATGCTGCATGTTACCATGTACCCCAGAGCAAGCAAACTGTATCTAAACAAGACATAATCTTTAGTATCCTAATCTTTTACTATGTTCTTCTATAGCCACTTCTAGGCTAAGCCTTCGCCATCATTTTATTGGGTCGTCATCCTGTTTGAATGTGCGAAGTAAAATAAAACCAACCAACCCACCAATCAACATAGTGCTCTGCTCATCACATCATCCAATTTCTGATGCTCTGGTCTACCGGCTCTCTTTGGCATTGGTGAATATGATGCTGTGTTATGCTCAGTATCCTTGGAAACCAAGAGCCTAGAGGACCTAGTATACTGCCCTGGTGATTGTCTGACATGACTATTTCAACATCCAATCACTCCTCTGGGGATGCTTGATCTAGCCCATTTTCCTTCTCTCTCCTCTATCATATTGTTCTTTGCCCCATTTAGCCAATGGCCGGTTGAACCCGCGGCTCTGAGAGACCTAAGGGCAGGCGAGATACAGGATATCAGCAAGTTGCCCCGACCCATAACTGCCCCATTTCGATTTGTATTGCACATTCTCTCGACTATCAGTAGGCTTGTGTTTGGTAGCTCTTGTTACTAAGACTATGAAATAGGAAACTAAGCAGGAGGCATATTTGTTTTCAATCCCTCAAACTTATGAATAAGTGAATTTGTGTTTGGGTTTGAGGAGTTTCAAAACATCTGGGTCTTACCAGTACATCGTACAGCGGTGCTTGGGGTAGAAACTCTCAAGTAAATGATTTTGCTTTCGGAAGAAGGGTGTGCATCAATTATAACGAATACACACGATTTAGGGGCAAATACTGTCACTCGTTGGCAAGGTACCAACATAGCTAGTATAATACAATCATGTCATGCCGGTCAAATGTTAGTTTCTGTTGTGTGTGTGTGTGTGTGTGTGTGTTTGTGTGTGTGTGTGTTTGTGTGTGTGTGTGTGTGTGTGTGTGTGTTTGTGTGTGTGTGTGTGTGTGTGTGTGTGTGTGTGTGTGTGTGTGTGTGTGTGTGTGTGTTGAATGGTGTAATCCCAGCACAAGTTGCTATGTCTAACATAGCTGTTCGCTATCATCGCTTCCGCGATGGGCATGTCTGAGGTGTGTGTGTGCGTGTGTGAAGAAGGGCGGGCCACAACAGAGCTTTAAATTCCACGGTCGTGGTACTCTAGTCTAGATGCTATGCTACACAGGCTCCCAGTGCCTATCGGACCTTTTCAAAGGCATGTTTGACATGACAGACGGTATGAGATGCAAACTCCAGCAATCGTTTGCTGTCTCACACATTCAGACGTCACTCAATAGTCCTACATGCGTCATGATGGACTGCTCGAATAGACACAACGGTCCCAATCCGTGTTTTTAGCTTCGAGACGAGGTTTGTTCGATACTTGCCCTATTTTGAACTTCCTTTCCGTTCAGACATCGTAGGAACTCTGTCGGACACAAGCAACCTACTACTACTGGTACCGGTAGGAAACACAATTTTGAAAAGCACGTCAAAACAAGTTTGGGTCGTCGGATAGAATAACTCTTAACCCTTTATTACCGGATTACTTGCACAGCATGCACCAGGATTACGAATTTCAGCACAATTTCTAACTTCACCATGTCAATTAATTATACGGAGTCTCCACAGACCACTGCACTAGCACTGCAGCTAACACATACTGTAAAGACAGAAAATTTTCGGTGGTGTAATATTTTCGGTATTCTCCAAAATCGGCGGTTCGGCGGAGGGAAATTTTCGGTAAACCCGCGTTCCAGGTAAGTGTACTAGTACTATACCGGCATTTTCGGTGCGTTTTATTTTCTGTAAAAATTTCGGCACCGAAGTTACCGAAAATAAAACACCACCGAAAATTTCTGCTTTTTCAGTAATGTAGAAGAGAAAAGGACATATGTATACGAGTTAAGAGTAACTCTCCATCACTGTAACATGATACTATAATAGTCAGAAAGTGCAATAACTAGGCACAAAACTGACAGAGTACTGAAACATTCAACGTCCTGACACCTAGCTTCAACACATCTCCGTAGCGCTAACCGACAGCCTTCCAACTTGGAAGGTTCAAGGTTATGGAAAGACCAAAGAGGGGAAGGCAAGCGCAACGAAAATGAGCAAAAGCTACAGTCCCAACGGAACAAAGAATGTCGATTGTTACTGGACGATGACGAGACCAGTACGATATTTGACAAAGCGGTCTAACTACAATTCGAAGCAGCAAAGCAGCACACCACCCAACTTGGGTGGGTCATAAATATCAAAGATAAATAAAGAAAGGGAAGCTTTGCGAAAACGAATTGTACAAGCCGAAAGCCAAACTCCTACAGTACTCCTCATGCATGACATTGTGATGGACTAGTTGACTACAAAACAAGTTGTTTCACACGACGTACGTTTTGTCGTACGTTTTGTCAGTTTTGTGCCAGTTTTGTGCCTAGTATTGCACTTTCTGACTGTATATAGTATCATGTTACAGTGATGGAGAGTTACTCTTAACTCGTATAGATATGTCCTTTTCTCTTCCACATTTATTTATGGCTCAACATCCGAGTTTCAAATTGCACACCTGATGAGCCGTCACGAACCATACGGCGAAACGTACGTCGTGCGAAACAACTTGTTTTGTAGTCAACTAGTCCATCACAATGTCATGCATGAGGAGTACTGTAGGAGTTTGGCTTTCGGCTTGTACAATTCGTTTTCGCAAAGCTTCCCTTTCTTTATTTATCTTTGATATTTATGACCCACCCAAGTTGGGTGGTGTGCTGCTTTGCTGCTTCGAATTGTAGTTAGACCGCTTTGTCAAATATCGTACTGGTCTCGTCATCGTCCAGTAACAATCGACATTCTTTGTTCCGTTGGGACTGTAGCTTTTGCTCATTTTCGTTGCGCTTGCCTTCCCCTCTTTGGTCTTTCCATAACCTTGAACCTTCCAAGTTGGAAGGCTGTCGGTTAGCGCTACGGAGATGTGTTGAAGCTAGGTGTCAGGACGTTGAATGTTTCAGTACTCTGTCAGTTTTGTGCCTAGTATTGCACTTTCTGACTGTATATAGTATCATGTTACAGTGATGGAGAGTTACTCTTAACTCGTATAGATATGTCCTTTTCTCTTCTACATTTATTTATGGCTCAACATCCGAGTTTCAAATTTTTCAGTAATCTTTTTTTTTTCAACTACATATACAGTGATGAAGTTGATTGTTCCAACTAGGAACACACGCTTCTTGCCGAACTTGACACTTGACTGACTCACGACTGCCATCCGCAAGAAGCGTGTGTTCCTAGTTGGAACAATCAACTTCATGACTATTACCGCCGAAGTCGCAACTTCTAAGTTCGTACATATACAGTGTACAGCACTAACACGAAATATCCCTTATCTCTACTGTCATGTTCTCCATAGGGAAGGGGGGGGGGGGGTAGGAAGGCCGTCGGATAGAAAATGGAATGATTTCCACAGGAACTAGTGTATGAAGCAGCCACCGCACCCAGCAACTACTAGAATGCCGTTCTTACTCCTTTAATTTATCAATTTATATATTTATTCAAAATCACGTCTCACTAGCCAATGATAACATATAATAATTAATTAAGGTGATGTGGGCGATAGCCAGGCACGGCGGTAATAGAGGGGAGAAAGATTCTTCGGGGGCTTCGTATTGATGGATTCTTAGCCAGGTACACAGTCATGCACCAGTATTGTTAGCGCTGTACTCTGCCCCTGCCTTCCTGCCACGCGGTATGCCATGCTGCACGCTGCTCACCAGATGGCCAAATATCACCATTCACCACGTATCGTACTGTATCGCTCGATACACCGGAAGTTCTGATTCCCATGGTCAAGTGGTTGACGGAGGACAACAGCTTCGATGTAACGGTAGTTGCTGTAGGCAGCATGTCTGGGAAAACAGTACAGTATTAGGTATTGAATACTGTCGCAGAACCTAAGCCTACTGCCTCTGTGGAAAACAGTATCTTCAGCGTATTTTGACTTGCGTATGGGCGTTCTAGGGAGCACTATTGTATTCTCTCTTAGGTCTTGAGTATAATTATAAGATCATTTCCCGTTTACTAGCTAGCAGGTCGGTTTCGGAGCGTCTTAGTCTTAGACGTCTGGATGAGGAGCAGAGAGTAGTGTGATGTATCCGTTCATACTGCTGACTTGCGTCGTGTTGAGCAGTGCGTGTGTTCCGACATGTAGCGCCGTTACACTTGTCGTCCAGGATAGGTCTGAGGCCGTCAGTGACGCTCCCGGGCAGCGCGTTCTTCGCAGGACTCCATGCGGGGCTGTAACAGCACCATGCACCAACCTCCGCGACGCGTTGGAGACGTTGCGCAGACTCAGGTCCACCAATCTAACGCTGAGTACGGTGTTCTCTAGCGCAAGGGCAGGTAGTACGGTGGAATACTTACTTCCAAATGTCACAGTCACTATACGATTGCTAGCAGTTCAGGAGGCGGGCTGCCATATCGCAGCAGCGTACGATGGAATTGCTACCAAGTATCCAATCACAATCCACAACTATCCGGCAAACGTTATCATCAAAGGGTCAAGAGACAGGGGCTGCAAACGAGCGATCATTGTAGCACCCCGTGAGACTACTAGCGAAATAAAAACGATAGTCCTCATCCAAAACAGTTCTGCAATAGTCCTTCGAGACATAAGCATAGACTGGGAGTTATCCGCCGCCCGCATCCGGCCGACCTTGATCTATGTAATGCTGTCGAATTGGGTGCGATTGGAGAATGTTAAGTTTACACAGAGATCGTTTGTTCAGAAGTTGATGGTCGTATCGAATTCACAGATGATTCAAGTACAAGATTGTGTCTTCGACGGAAGCCCTTTGAAAAGCTCTATCATCGGCCCTTTCGACAAAATAATTGTATCCGCGGCCGTCGTTGTGTATTTTAACCGATTTAATGCTTCTGATCCTGATATTCTACAGAAGCTTGATGCCCTCCGCCCACAGAACTGGCCTAAAACGTCGTGGAGCCCGAGCGACCAGGAAACTGTCCATCGAAACACTGGAACGCCTCTGACCAGTCCTAACGTCCTGTTCATTCGATGTGAGTTCACATCCATAGGGGGTCAGCCTCCTCTCATTGATCAACGACTGAAATCGCTGGGCGTTCGCTTCTCCAACGGTATCGCGCTGTCCACGTTATTTCGCAGCCGAGCTCATTCGTGCAGCGTGGCTGCTGTGAACTGCAGTTTCGACACGAATCGCTCTCCTGGCGGAACGGCTGTGAGGTTCGAATTCAGCCAAGGCACGCGCAATGTGGCCGCAGTGTTGAGGAGCAGCTTCACGAGCAATGAAGGGCTGTTTGCAGGAGCGCTGTGCGCCTACTTCAGATTAATGGCGGCCAGCTGTGCTCTGCTGGTGCACAACTGCAGCTTTGAGAAGAACCTGGCGCGAAACGAGGCCGGAGGTCTCGGTGTGTATTACAGTGACGTCACAGGGAAAACCGGAAACCTCGTGTCCGTTATAAAGTCCAGTTTCACTCGTAACTCGGCAGGTGTTTACGGATTCAGAGCCCCGGGCGGAGCAATTCTGGCCGTTTCGGACCAGGCACGCTCCAGAGCGATTCCCAACAAGCTGAGAGTTGCCAGTCGAGTACGGGTGGAAAACTGCAAAGTGTTGGGCAACAAGGGTTTCGGTGCAATACACAGCGTACGAACAACTATACTCTTCAGCGGAAACAAGTGAGTTGATTGCTTTGTTTCCTTGTTTTGTTTTTCTAGCAAGCACAACGATCACTGGTTGCGACTTCGCCGATGATTTGTTTGTTTGAAAGACAGCACAGTGGTAGCAGTTAGTGGTGGTCAGTTCGTCGTTAATAGATGGGCTAGTAAAAGTTTTTTTTTTGCTTCGGGAGCACTAATTGTGATAGCACTCCAGCGGCCCGTGCATCACGAATGGTGCATAATTACAGGGATGCTCCATTTCCAGCGCAACAAACACCTCCGTGAGTCAGTGTCTCTCAGTAGACATGGTTAGCATTTTACCGTTCACGCTATTTCGACGGTCGGCGTGCGAGTCTACGAGTCGACGTGTGAGGTAACCCTAGTTGGAATCTTACCGTTTCGTTCTCCCGCTAAAAAGAGCTTTCTATCGTCGAAACGGTACCAAACCGACGGTATTTTGGGTTTGGGGTACGAGTACCGTTGGATCTAGCGCGTGAACTGAAACAATTAATGCCATGTCTACACACACAAAAAACGTGCAGGCCTACCGCCGAAAATAGCGTGAACGGTAAAATGCTAACCATGTCTAGTGTATGGTTCTCACCGCTCCATCGGCGATACTTACATGCGCGGCTCAGCCTGGGACCTCACTGAGGGTTTGTGGCGCTGGAAACGGAGTACACATGTACATTCGAATGATGATTGCAAGTTGTTATCCCTAGTGATACTTTGCCTGCTGGTGCTCTATGAAAATAGTGCTTCTGGAGAAAACTCTGCATTAGCCTACTCTATGTAAAGTTGTAAACCAATGGCCGTGCACGCGTGCCGAACACACTGTATAATGAGAGTACACTGTCCAGTCGTCTTGTCTTGCAGGTTCACTGAGTGGAAGGTTCGACGTGCTCCTCGTGTGCTCCGGTGGGCAGTCGTGAGTCAATCAAGTACAACAATTATTATATTATTCACGTAGACTGGAAGCCTGCGCGTCGCTGGGGGAGCAGCCACCTTTCCAATGACGCTACTTCTAAGTTCGTACGAAACAATGGTTAAAAAAACAGTTGAGCCTGGCGAGGGAATGATCAGTCCTGTAATTTTTGCAAGTATCGCCGAAGTTGTACAAATCTCTTCTTCACTTAGTGATTGCAGGCTTGAATCCAATGAAATCACTTTGTTGCCAGTGCCAACTCTTGGCGGCTATTACATGTCTGGTCACCGACGTACGTGGACTTTACATCCTTTGCAGTGCCTATGGCTATGGATAGAACGCAACTATCAGATTCATTGGCGGAGCTGCAGGAACAATCATGAATGGGCTAGTGATGGTAAACAAAGAGCGTGATTTTGAAAGCAACCTTTTCAAACAATCATCTTGAAAAAGTACTCGAAGTAAGAGGAAACGTGGAAGCTGGCAGAGGAATGCAGGAGGATCTGGTAGACCTACTATGAAAAACAAAGAAAAAACAGGTAACGTATTAAAAAGGGTGATCGGCTGGTCGAAAGATAGCCCGGACACATGATCTTCTTCTTCTTCTTCTTCGGTAACTACAAGTCATAATAAATATGAAAATGACTGTGAGAGTACAGTGTACATGTAGTAGAAACTTAGATCAGTTTCTCCAGTTGCAAGAACTGGATAGCTTCTGATGGTTGTGTGAGAATTGCCTCCCTGACTGACGTGAAGGTACATAGACGTGTACCTGCTCGACTGCTGTGTCTGGCAGGGCAATCTAGCAGGAGGTGGGCAGCATCATCAACTGTTCCAGGACAGTGAGTGCAATCGGGTGAAGGTGCCGCCTCAATCTGGAACAAGTACTTGTTCAGCAGGCTGCAGTGGCCAGTGAGGAGCTGATTGAGGATGGTGGTCTCATGCCGGGACGGAGGGCTGCGGAACTTGCTGGTGTTGAGTAATGGCCGGGGGTATGCGGTTGCAGACCGAATTGAAGCCTTGGCAGCTTGGATAGGTAGCTGAACCTGGGCCTGTACACACTGTGTTCCATTCCGGGCAAGGCGATCCGCCTTGTCATTGAGAGCAACACCGCAGTGGCTGCTGATCCAGACAAGGTTGGTGGAATGAGCCTTCCGAGCAACCTCTGTCAGAGCATCGAACGCAGCAATGGTGTCTGGGCTGATCCTGTATGAGTCTCCACGGAGGGCATCTGCGAGGGAGAGGCTGTCAGTGACCAGCACAACGTCCGTCTCCATGGTGGTAAGGTCGTAGACTGCCCTCAGGCCAGCTGCTGCTGCCGCTACTTCGGCAGTGAAGGATGTTGCGACAGCGCCAGCTGGTAGACACCCAGACAGTATCTCTGACCGCTGGGTTGCAGTGGTTTCCATGACAAGAAAACCACCATGATCTGAGGACGTTGTGGCAAGGATTCCCATAGGCTATATCACTTGGCCATGCAACGGAGTGAATGTTCAGCTGCTGTTCCCAGGTAGACGTCTGCAGTTATGTAGCTGGTTGTGGATCAACATGCTGCATGTCTGGTAGGCGTGCGCAGCGATAGCCTGCAGTAGTACATGACGTAAGTCGTTGTACTAATGCTCTAATATTACACAACGGAAGTATTCGACAGAGAAGTGGTCAGCGAGAAAATCAAAATAGGTATCGCAAACTCCAGCAGGGGACGAATATTTCATCAACACAATTCAACCGATAACTGTATGAGGAAAAGGAGAAGCATACTCGGACAGCAAAGCAAAGACGAAAACTAGCATACCCCACAAGCACAGTGTGTATGAGTATTGCGTCCCGGCCTTCTGCCCCACGCACGCTGTATGAAGCCTGGGCCCGGGAGTCTGCCTGAATCCTGATGCCGGTGTAGCACAGCTAGCTGCACAGCTCAGATCGATGAGAAAGCCACGGTAAAGTCGCGGATAGAAGCCGGGCTTATAAGCACATAAGCCGCTTTCTGCATCAGGCTTCAATGCAAACCTTGTTATCTTGGTTATATGCACCACTGATATTTTTGCCAGGCTTGTAAGTAGTTGTATGCACATCGTGACATCGGTCGATCCGGGTTTGCGTAGAAGCCAGGCTTCTACGCGCGACACGCGTAGCTAGCTCTACCACTGACTACCGGTACGGCGGCAGTTTTACTATGCACTGTACATAGCGCATGCACTCTTGACCTACCCGATCCGCGCTTGCATAGAATATTAGAAGCCAGGCCTGCAGGCCTCAGCCTCAGGTTTCTACGCGCGACAAGTAAATGCGACGTCGCAAACTCAACGCATCGCATCGCATCGCGCTTTCGCGTCGCAAAAAATGAAGTATGAATCGGCCTTAATGCATTTGACACGTTTGATTCTCAGGCTTCTATCCGCGATGTGCTTGTATGCAAACCCGGCTTTTATCCGCGACTTTACGGTATGCATAACCTTTTGTGCTACGCTGTGCCCTAATATACTAATCTACTCTCTATGCTGTATGCATGGTATGGCGTAGCCCAGCACTGCCAGCAGTTCAGGCAGTAAGCCGGGTAACTGGTTGTCGGTGAGCATGTTTCTGCTGAGAGTACTGAGTAGAAGACTACATAAATCATGAACAAATAAGTATTAGTTACTAGGAGTACTTGAAGTAGTTGTAATTCTGTAACCTATTGCAGTATTGGACTCAGTAGTCTGTGCACGTGTTGTATCTTGGCCCAGTGTTGTCAGCGGGAACAATCTCACCGCCTTAGCGCTGAGCGAAGCCAGGGTGAACGTTACCGGAAACCTCACCATCCGCAACAACCATGCTGCAAACGGTGGTGCGATACGGTTGGAACAAAACTCCATTATCGATGCATCTGAGGTGAGCATCTTTGTTTTAGGTCCACCGCCACGAGCGTTACTTACTGAAATACACCCAAAAAGTTGATCGACATAGGCAGAGGATGGATAGGGGAATCAAGATCCATGGGGCCTAGACGGTCCACCTAACATGAATGCTCTTGAAATCCTGAGATAAAGAACATGCGGAAGATGCAAAATTAATGCTATCTCTTCTCTTGGGGACTTCGAAACGTATTGTTGTGAGTCACAGAATGCTAAAAAATCGAAGTTTCAGACATCGATTCTCGGTACTTGATCTTATCTTGCTTGCAATACCGTATTATCTCTAATATAAGCACGGTCCCTTATTTTTTCAATGTACCTCCGCCCCGTGCTATTAATGGACACGTTCCTTTATTGGAGACTTACATTATTATTTCAACCTCATTTCAGAGGCATGTTGCCATGCCAAATTCATGTATGACACACACATTTCAGGGTTTTTTTTCGCCGGTACAGATAATGAATTTACACAGTGTGCTTATAATGGAGACTGAGCACTTTATTTTTTGAATGCCGCCCCAAGGTGTTCTATTATTGGAGACTGTGCTCATATTAGAGATAATACGGTATGTGCTTTTCAAGTCTCCCATGTTTGCTGAAAGAGTTACCGGTAAAATATGTCTGGACCTCATGTTGTGTGAGAAATAGAACTATACGGAACATATCAGTGTGTGTGTGTGTGTGTGTGTGTGTGTGTGTGTGTGTGTGTGTGTGTTTGTGTGTATGGAATAAGAGATAAATCTGTGATGGCCGCTATGCTCTTTTAAACAGTTGACAATACAACAAAACCTTGATTATTGGTCTAAGGCGAGGAGATTCGTCTCTCTTGTAGAAGCCTCTCATGTGTGTTTTGAATGTTTGTGTGTATACGTGTACGTGTGTTCATGCATACCGTATTTCCACAAATAGTAGGCCGGTCTACTATTTTTTCAACCTCGTCCTAACCCGGCCTTATAATCGAGGACAGTCTTGTATTCGAAGACGGTCTTTTATTCTTTCAACCCAGTTTGACCCCCCGGTCTTCTATTTCTCACCACACAGTTTTACCCCCGTTCTTCCATTTTCTTCTACACAGTTTGAGCACGGTCTTCTATTTTTTCCCACAGTTTGAGCACGGTCTTCTATTTTTAACACAAGAACAAAGACTCATTTAGTAGGCCCGGTCTTCTAATCGGAGACGGTCTTTTATTTTTTCAATCGCCCCCTGCCCCGGCCTTGTATACGAGGAAGACGTTGTATACGAGGACGGCCTTTTATTTGCGGAAATACGGTATATTATGTGCATGTGGGTGGGTGTCTGTGGTTGTGTGCCCGGTGTGAGTGCAGGCAGAGAGCTTCATCATTCGCAGCAACACGGCTCGCGACTTTGGCTCGGCTGTGTACGCGGACCAGATGTCGTCGACGGTAACACTGGAGGATATTGTTCACTCGGTCAATGTAGACCGTGGAACCACTACATGCCCTATACAGCTACCCAGAGACCGACGTGCTCGGCATGTAGCTTTACAGGTGAGTTCTGATGAGCTCGGTAATAACAATGGTGCCAAATCCGCCGATCACTCTGCAAGCCTCCCGGTTTCTTGGCATGTTGAAAAAAACCCCCAGTGGACTGAGGTCCTGTTATTGTAACCCTGAGTTTGGTTTTTCACAGTACAACGATCGGACAATATCTACTACACTCTTTGGCTCGCTGCAATTGACCACTTTCAGCAGCACGCTGGATATGTTATCTGTTTTGTTTTGTTACAATTTTTTCCTGGCAAATATTCCTGCCTCCAGACCAAGGTCTGAACGTTAAACTTCGTACCATGCACTGATAACCTTTCCGTCAAGAGTCCGTATTTAGAGTAAGGGTGAAACGATTCGGGTAAAGAACCGGTTTTCGAACCGCCAGCTCACCAAACTCGGGTACCCGTTCCGTCAAATTTTGAACCAAAACTCAAAAAATCTCGTTCTCGTGCAAATACATGTATATATTTTTATGTGCACGTCAAGTCTATTCAAGATTTATTATCATTTTCTTACGATCACCGACCTTCCAAAGGGTTCTCCTGGTCATTCTGTTCTTCGCACATGGACTCTCCGATGTCTCGTTCTTGCTCGTAAAACGATTTTCTAAAAAACAATTGTTTGCGAACGCATTTTGTCGGTCTGGAGAAAAGCGTGCATGGAACCGATACCCGAACCGTAAGAAACTACATGTATGCTGGCATTAGGGTACCCGAACACGAAAAACATGGAACCGTTTCACCCCTATTTTAGAGTGTTGGTTGTTGAGTACTACAGCTGTATGCACTGCTTTGGCACTATTTGGGCATTTCATGCATGTTCAGTAGTGTAAGTTGTTTTGTTGTTGCTGGAATTGACTTTCTTCTTGTTTGCGTGGTGAAATGGGTCGAAAGGTCATGCTCTTTGAGAAGCGGATAACTCTCCCACAATTCAGAACAATAATAGTTGTTAGTAATGTGTCGGCAGCACATTCAGGAACTAGCACCGTATAAATCCCACCAGAGCACCCCTACCTCCGCCACCCTTCGAGTAGGTCCAGGCGGGGATGGGCGGGTGGGCGAGTCCTACTTGAGTCCTACTTGCTACATGAAAAAGTACTCACTTTACGAAAACTGTCCGTACATCCCGTACACCGACCAAAGGTCAAGAGCAGGAAGTTGTACAGACCCATCAAAACTCAGGGTTTTGCGCGATCCCTGGTCAAGAGGGGTGGGCACTGTTGCGTACATTTTCAACCGGGTCGGATACAATCAATCACTTCCCTGACAAAAAGTCAGGGAGGAGCGTATAGGAGAGACTGGGCCTGGCGGGATTTGATGGTACTACTCAAAGTGCTGCAGCAGCTAATCACAAGTTGTTTTGGGCCGGCTCTTGGTACATGAGCCAGGGACAACAGAAATTTTACTTCTGGTGGGAAGGAACTTTTTTTTACGAATGAACCTTTCTATATCAAAATGCAGTTCTCACTCCAGGCACACTTCTGCAATCCCTAGCCACATGTTGAAGTACACAATCCATTCTATGTACAAGAAAGACGGCGTTGGGAACATCTTTCCCGCTAACTGCGAACATTAAAATATTATGTTGAGGTCGAGTGATCCTCTTACTCGCATTGCATCTTCTTGATTTTTTAAATTCCTCATTACAGGCTCTGCTTCTGCACAATGGGTCGAAGAGAAGGACGGTCTCTGCCTGGTACATGGCCAGCCTGCATCGGTGCTACGAGTACCTCAAGCCCTACTTGAACCAGATCACGAACGACAAGTATGGCAAGTACACCGACCAGTGCTACTGTATGCCGTATGCTCCGGCAGCTTGGGATGGCTACATGCAGAATGTCTACACCCACCAAAATGAAAGTAAGTTCAAAGCTTCCATATATGTCATATATTCGACGGGTTCGCATACCGGGCAGGTCAAGAACAAGGAGTCGTACAACTCCTGGGTCCAGAACCACCTTTCCGCTTCCGTGGGACGCCACCACCCCATGATCAGGCGTCAGATGTGGCTCCTAACCGGGGGGGGGGGGGGGAGGATACATCAGATCCACCAACCAGAGGCCAAAGGCCTAAATCCCATTTGCCACATGCATATAATTATGTCATGCCCAATCCTGTAGACAGCAAGCTGTTTCGGCCATGAAGGCCTCATCAGTACAGCTACGAGCTAAATAGGCCGAGCTAATTATGTCATGCTATATGAGAATAATGTTGGAAAAAATGTTTGGTCTAAGATCATCCGGAATTTTGAAGACAGGAGGAAGTTTTATGTCTGATCTTCACAGTCAGGCAGAGATGATTGTGGCATAAATGTACCATAGACTCATTCCCATTTTTCTCTGTGCGCAATAGTCGACAGTGCTGACACGTTTACTAAAGGAAGAACAGTGTTCTGTTCTCTTGCTTCTTGGTCCGTCCTTTACAGAGTTTGACAAAGTTCGTTGTGACTACATCCTGAAGCCGGACTTCCAGGAAATTTGCCCAAAGGGTGGGGACCTCTTGGAAATGCCCAGGGCTGTTTCTGCATATCCAACCTCGGCATGCTGGCCTAGTGGCTCAAACAGGTCAAGGCTCGGAGCAGTCAGGGACCTCCGGATGCGCGCCAACGCCACCTGCGGCAGAGCCAACGCGAACCTGTGGCAGCCAGCGCGCTGCCACAGCCGCGCCCAGGACATCTTTGTAGTCGACCAGATCCCCGTCAAAGCTAGCAAGCCACCAGTGCTGGGCACGAATGCAGCCTGGATAGTGTTTCACAAGGCCAGCACGTCTTGCTACAAACCCGTTGGAAATGACATATGGTACTATGAACGATACTGCTCCTCCACAACCATCATACCTGCCTTGCTCAATCATCAGTAAGCGAGCCAAAGGATCCCCAACATTATTGCACCCGGCTGATGTGTTAACTGCTGTGATGATTCAGACAGAGTAATGCACAATCCTGTCCTACTATAAATCAAAGAGTGGATCAGGAGTCTGTACCTACTGTTGTACAGTTGCAATAATGTTATGATAGAGTGAAACCTGTCAAGGCGACCACTCGGATAAGCCGACCACTCGGATAAGCCGACCACCCGGATAAGCCGACCACTCGGATAAGCCGACCACCTGTCCTAGAAGACCAGTGAAACAAGGGATGCAATTTCCACTCAAATGACCCTTGATAAGGAGACCACCTCGTAATAGATACCAAATTTTGAAGGTCTCTTGAGCGGTCGTCTTAGGCAAGATTCACTGTAGTGTGCCTAAGTATGGCTTTGATCTTGGGGTTAAATAGGGGAATTTCGTTTTGTAGATCATTGAATAGAAGAGCTTGTCACTTGATTTGGCCACACATATTCCCCAAATGCATTTTCAATAAGGCAAAGGTGAGAGAAGTGTTTCACCACCAAGTCAAATTTTGAATCACGTCGGTGGGAGCATGAAGAAGAAATCGCATCAAAAAAGTATATTGACGCTCGTGAACGTTCATTGCACTGCGGTGCACATTACTCAGTTCCCTTTCTTCACAGAAGCAGTTATAATTATTTGTCTTGTTGGAATGACACTTTTGTTGCTAGGAATCAACTGAACATCAGCACCGACTGTGTGCTGCAGCGGCTGAACTTCAAGTATCAGCGTTTACGCAAAAGCACCGCACCATTCTTGCCGGGATACAAACTGGTCATGCTGCCCTGGGCCGGCTCACTACACACCTGGGACCAGTTCGAGGAGAACATGCCGTCCACCTGCATACAGTCACTGGCAGCCGGCACGATGATTACCAATCAGAGCATCTCCATGCTGACGCTTCACCCGGCCCCCGGCGAGAAGTTTGACCTGAGCCTGAAAGTGGCAGACGAAATCTTCAATCTCAGGGCAGCACCTTTATCCATTAAGGTAAGCAGCAGTCACAGCCCCACTTTCAAGGGTGTGTCTGGTTAGTACCTACGTTTATCACAGTGGCTTGGCTAACACATTGCCACACCACATATATGTAAGTAGGTTTGCAATATCAAGAAAACTACGATTTTAGTTCTACTCCCCATGCTAGAGTATAGAGTAGACACACACGCGTGCAGGACGCGACACACCAAAGGACACAAGAGTGAGTTTGGAAGAATGGGAATGTCGAGCAGAGTAGCTGGCCTCAATTGAGTGCGCGTTAACGAATCGTGTGGTCGGCCTACCGAGGGCAGGAGCTGTGTATGACCAAGTGGGTCGGCCTGCGCTGAGCAGGAGCGGTTTGTGACCCATGCGAGTTGGTGGGTCGGCCTGCGTTGAGCAGGAGCGGTTTATGACCCATGCGAGTTTAATAGTAGTGCGCGAGAGGCCAGTTACGGAGGAGTGCCCGCATCCGTGTGTTTCAAAATATGTGGAGTGTAGTGTAAGAGTAAGAAATGGGATGAGGAGGGTGGGTCAGAATTTGAAAGCTGACTGCAGGCAAGGAAACTGGAAAGACAGCAAGCTCTGTTGTGCGCACAGGAAATCTGCGCATGCGCAGAGCGTGGGCATGTGATGTCTATGATACACAGCAGTATGTAGAGAGAGCAAGATTGTGCACACACGTAAGGAGGGTTATGCAACCCGTTATAAAGGCCAACAGCGAAGCAATGGTACGTGACTGTTAACAACGGTTAACTCCTACGTTAACCGAACATTTAACATTCTACTCCCCATGCTAGAGTATAGAGTAGACACACACGCGTGCAGGACGCGACACACCAAAGGACACAAGAGTGAGTTTGGAAGAATGGGAATGTCGAGCAGAGTAGCTGGCCTCAATTGAGTGCGCGTTAACGAATCGTGTGGTCGGCCTACCGAGGGCAGGAGCTGTATATGACCAAGTGGGTCGGCCTGCGCTGAGCAGGAGCGGTTTGTGACCCATGCGAGTTGGTAGGTCGGCCTGCGTTGAGCAGGAGCGGTTTATGACCCATGCGAGTTTAATAGTAGTGCGCGAGAGGCCAGTTACGGAGGAGTGCCCATGCCGACATTCCCATTAGGACCAGAGGAGATAGCGGGTGATAACAGCCAATATAGATGGTAAGTATGTATTGCACAAGAGCGTTGTTCTAGAGGCATAAAGTCAGACTGATATTGTGGAGTAGGATCGACAGAGAAAGCTATCTGCATCCTAAGTGAATGTCTTTGCACTTACTCAGTGATCGGCTGGACCATGGTGTCAGGCCGCTCCGCAGCTGTAGGAGCAAAGGTCCTGAAGGCATCCATCTTGTTCCGGGACAGGGCATCAGCGATGGTATTGGAAATTCCTGGCAGGTGCGATGCTCGGATCAGGAAATTGTGCTTCACACAGATTGAGTACAGGGTGCGGATGAGTGCCATGACTGCAGGAGACCGGCTCGTGCCCGTCTTCAGGCACTCCACGACAGCTTGGTTGTCGCACTGAAACACCACACGCAGCCACTCGATCCCTCATGTGGCGCAGGCCACGACAATGGCGATGAGCTCCTTGTAGGTAATGCTGGGCATCCACTTCTCTAGCAGGAAAAATGACTTTCCGTTCCATGTTGACAGAGTCTGGTGCCACCAGCTCAGGTCGCCCTTGGCTGAGGCTGAGAGGTGCAGCATTCGGTGAGATGACATCTCAGATGTGGCCTTGTCGAGGTCATACAGGCGGCGTAAGAATGTACGGGCGACCGGAATTGCTCTGGAAGCGAACGAGAGGTGGCCCAGGAGTGAGGCGAGTTCGCGTTTGCGAACGCAACCAGATATAGCAGGGGAATGGCCTATCGTGAAACCGTGACACAACCCATGCAACACAAAGTGAGAGAAGGAGTGATCAGAATGACGATTAAGGAGCCCGGCTAATCGGCTAACATTGATGGGAGTCTCCACAGAATGTTTACGGAGCAGACGCTGAGGTGGCGGACTGTCCCCTGCCACATTTGACTTCTGGGTGCTTCCCGCGGCATTGAAGGCACACGTGGGCACGATAGCAGAATGAGTTGTTGCACTGGTCCCTGTTGAAGTTGCGGCAGATAGGCTTCCCAAGATGGGTTGGCGCGCTGGACTGCGGTGGACCTCCACTCCCAGCGCCGTCGGATGGAGGCCCTGATCTAAAGGGACACCGGGCCTGGGCCACTGGGTGCACCAGAGAACAGCGCGAACATGGCGGGCGACCACGGCTGGTGAATGACGACTGCCACAAATTAGAGTCGATGACAGCCCAGTCGTACGACAGTGGTTGGGAGGCTATGGCGCGCCGGAAACGCCTGTCATAACTTAGCCATGCGTCCACGTGATACGAGTTATTTGCATCCAGAATAGTGGCCTGATATGCCAGCAAATCATTTGCCCTATCTGGAGCCGCCGCAACAATTACTCTCGTGTAGACAGTAAACGCCTCGAGCCATGACGCTACATCGTGGACATGGCGGCGCTGGGCCTGAGTTGGCTTCTGTACAAGTTGGACACAGCGGTTAGCCCCCACAGCTAGCTGGACTACATCGGGCTCCACACCCAGCTGGTCCGGGAGGAGGTCGTCGAAATCAATAAACTCGCCGCGTTCAATTCGCCCGCGGAGTTTATCAGGTACAGAGAGCGACGGACGAGCAGCCGGCGGATGGCCCAATGCATGAACGGAGCTGAAGTTGACAGGCGGCACGACGGCTGCAGCAGATTCCAACTGCTCTACTCGCTCCATTAGGGGCTGGAGGACCTGGCCAACTGCCTGAGAAACAGCCGAAGCAAGTACGGGCCACACTCAAGGCGGCGGCAGAAGAAACTGACGGCGAGACGTCGGAGACACGTGACAGAGGCCGCGGAGGAAGATAATGGAGTCCCGGTTGGTTGACGACGAACAGGAGTTGGCCTCGCACGCGCATTACTGCCTGCAGCCGAAGTTTGAGTTGCCGCCCCGGGATCAGGGGCCACATTCAAGGCGGCGGCAGAAGAAACTGACGACGCAACGTCGGAGACAACAGAATCCGAGTGGGGAGGTATTGGAGTTCTGGGCGATTGAAGACGAACAGGATTTCGCCGCACATGCACATTACGTCCTGTATCCAAAGGTTGAGCTGGCCGATGGCGTCTTTTGTCTGGTCGAGAAACGAGCCATCGTGAGAATATAATACTCAAATAATCTCTGGCCGCTGAAGACACGTAGTCTGACGGGACTGAACTGAGAGAGAACAAGGAAAGCGAATACTAAAGACGGCAGCCAATCGGCAGAACTAGGACTGACACTCTGAAGCAGGACGGAGGCAAACTCAAATCAGAAATCAGAATTTTCGAGTTCAGAATTTGAAAGCTGACTGCAGGCAAGGAAACTGGAAAGACAGCAAGCTCTGTTGTGCGCACAGGAAATCTGCGCATGCGCAGAGCGTGGGCATGTGATGTCTATGATACACAGCAGTATGTAGAGAGAGCAAGATTGTGCACACACGTAAGGAGGGTTATGCAACCCGTTATAAAGGCCAACAGCGAAGCAATGGTACGTGACTGTTAACAACGGTTAACTCCTACGTTAACCGAACATTTTTAGTTTCAGCAGATTAATGCTTGCCATAACATGCCATCACAAATTATCCATGAAGTAAAATTTAACTTGGATACTGAGCCAATGATAAATCTAACATGGAATAGAACACATGGGTTCGACCGTACGAGTAACAAGATAATAAGCAATCAGAAAGTGCGAAAACTGGGTACGAAAACTGACTGACAACTAAGACATTCAACAACATAGCTCTGAAAGAGCTCAATTTCCAGGCACCTGTATTTATCAGGTGTCCTTCTGCACAACTCCAGTCCAGTGAAATCCTGCTATGCTGCTAGCGTATTGGACATGATGTGTTGAACCCTGTAAGAATTCAAGTGACTGTGCAAATGATCTGATTCCAGTATGTTGACGAACTGTGCAACTGTTCAGGCATCCTCCAATGGCAGTCCGGTGGTACTGCTGGGGCAGGAGCGTCACGTGTACGGGCCCGAGGAGATTGTCGTCTTCTCATCGCTGTACGCATTGAACAACATTGTGCTCTATGGACCGGTGGGAGCGTCCGGAAACTTGGAAATCACTGTGATGGGTGAGTGAAAGCGTTAGTTCTGTCACATCATCCTGGTTGAAGGACTATCGATTGGGGTACGACTGAAGAGAATTGCCAAGGTCGTGTAGAGGTCATTCCAGTGAATAGCTGCTCACTGTCTTTGTACACGGATATCACGGTAACGGTAATGTTTTGGGGGACAGGGCTCGTTGACACCCTGGTGAGAGCCATCTACGCTGAGCTGACCATGGCACCCGGAAAGGCCTTCCAACTAAGTCACCTTGTACTAATGTTTGTTTGCGCGCGCGTGTGTGTGTGTGTGTGTGTGTGTGTGTGCGTGTGTGTGTGCATGTGTGTGTGCGTGCGTGTGTGTGTGCACGCGACCTGCACTCGGACGTTCACACGTGACTAGTACCCGGCTTAACACAAACGCAAAAAGCAACTCCGCATTCCTTGCCTCTTCGAGGCACTAAATCACCTTTAGGTGGCAGTTCAAAGTTTTAAGAGTGTGGGAGTCTGTGTGCGTGCGTGTGTGCGTGTGTGTGTGTGTGGGCACGCGTGCGCTCGTGCTATGGACGTGCACATGTGCGTGCGAGTGAAGGGTCCATGTTTAAACGTATTTGGTTAGTTTTTGGGATGACTTGTTTCTCCGATCGCTTTGGCATTCTGTCATGATTCTGAACATACAGGTCACAAAGCGTACTTTCAAGTTGGGGATCGCCACTTAGTTCTGCGAATACCGTTTGTTCTGCGTCGTTGTCACCTGGGATTCCGTAATCTGACAACAAGTCGAGCGGATGTGAGTTAACACTGCTCAGCACATTATACTGCACAACATTGTGAATTACTATCCACAGGCATATTATGTACGAGCATGTACTGTAAGTCCACACATTTTCGGCGCATACCTATTTGCGGCTATTTTCGGCCTGATCGTATTTGGCCGAAAATTTGTTGCAACCGAAAATGTTTTGCAAGGTTCAGTGTGACAGTGTATACAGGGAGCAGCAGTAGAGGCCGAAAAATTGTTGCAGCCGAAATGTGTTTTAGCCCTGGGAAGCCGGAAATTGAATGGGCCGAAAATTTGTAGACTTGCGGTATGAATTACATGTGGACACTGCACTGCAATCCATGCAGACTGTGTACTACATTGCTATTTAAGGAGATGGTGACCAGAATTTTTTTAACCACACTTGACCAGGTTTAGCCTCTGGTCGTTCTGTGATTAAAAATGCACGGAAGGCCTGGTGATAATAAATTGGCAAACAAATGGGTCTGCTCTGACCATTGCCCATGATAATATCCAAAATGAATTGTGCCATAGAACAGTCCGAAGTATACATGAAGAGCTTGAGAACAAAACGCTGTATGCGCCAAATCTTCAAAATCGAGATTTTTGACCCAAATGGTTGATCACGTCATGTAGTTAGTACAGAATAACATATGGAAGGGTTTTTCCCTGGCAGCTCCTGAATTTCCTACGGCCTGATTTGATTTTCTTATTAAACAGCCGCTGCTCCCCTGCTTTGATTCATACCTCACTACAGCCTTAGCGGTCCGAGGACCTACCGAACCCAATGGTGAAAAATTGATAGTACTATGGTGGGTATCCGCTGCTGCCACCTGGACGTTGTTTAGGGGCTCTAGGTTGTCTCTTCCAGTCAATTGGCCTCGGATGTACAGTACCCTATGTGTACATAGCAGACTCAGCGGAGGACGTTCAGGTTGGTTGTAACTCTGAGTTTCATGCCCCTAGGCAATCATCAGACAACTGATACTCTGGTCTACCCAACAGTATGCTTATAAACACATAGGGCCACAAGCATAAACAAATTTAGCGCTAAATCTGGTGTGAGGTATGGGGAGAAAGCTGGCGCGGGCCAAGGCGCGACCGTGGAAGTGCCAGGAGGGTGGCGGGCAACAGGCAGGTGTGAGCATGAAAGCGCGGAAAGAGGCGATGGGGAGGCAGTGTACAGCAGATGTGTGGGGGGTGCCAGGAGGGTGGCGGGCAGTGGCCCAGTGAGATCAAAACAGGATGGATGTACTGGCTAAGTCGGAGGCATTTATAACACTGAAAGACCACAAAAACAACTTCGCTAGAGCGCTGCCCTGCAGACTCATTAACCCAGCCAAATCGGAAGTGGGTGTGGTGAGCAAGGCTATACTGGAGAAGATCGTGGCTGCTGTGCGTCGCCAAACGGCCCTGAACCTATGGAGGAGCACCATGTCAGTGATCGAGTGGTTCAAGGAGATACCCGACAAACAGCGCCACACTTTCCTATGCTTTGACGTGGTAGAATTCTACCCGTCAATTGGTGAGCAGCTCCTCCGTCAGGCCTTATCGTTCGCGGAGCAATTCATCACGATCGAGCCGCGTGAAATGGACATCATCTTTCACGCCCGGAAATCGCTCTTATTCCACGATGGCCGCCCCTGGATGAAGGACAAGGGCGACATGTTTGACGTAACAATGGGAAGTTACGATGGCGCCGAGACGTGCGAACTTGTGGGGGCCTTTCTTCTCAACCAGCTCTCAAGCCTCGTCGGTAGATCCGCTATCGGCCTCTACCGAGACGATGGACTGGCCGCCCTCAAGGACACCAGCCCACAGGCTGCAGACCGCCTCAGAAAAAAGCTGACGGAAATATTCAAGCGCTTCGACCTTAAAATTACCATCGAAGCGAATTTGAAGGTGGTGGATTTCCTGGATGTCACCATGAACCTGGACACCGGGAAATTCCAACCCTTCCGAAAGCCCAATGACAACCCGCTCTACGTCAGCAAGCAGTCCAACCACCCACCTGGCATCACCAACAACATCCCTGCTGCTGTCAACAAGCGCCTTTCCGCTATATCGAGCGACGCGGAGGCATTCAACCATGCAGCCCCCGTGTACCAGACCGCATTAAAGGCCAGTGGATACACCGAAGTGCTGAGCTTTCAGCCCGAGGCACATGAGCACAGGGGCAGGAAGAACCGCAGCCGCAAGGTCATATGGTTCAACCCTCCCTACTCCAAAAACGTTAGCACAAACGTCGCTGGTAGGTTCCTGAGCCTTGTCTCCAGGCACTTCCCGAAAACATCCAAGCTCGGGAAGATTTTTAACCGTAACACTCTGAAAGTGAGCTACAGTTGTATGCCAAACATGGGAGCGGTCATCAGCAGCCACAACAAGAGCAACCTGCGAGAGCCAGAACAAACCAAGGCATGCAACTGCAGAATTAAGGAATCCTGCCCGCTGCGTGGAGAGTGCCAGACGAAGGAGATTGTGTATGAGGCCACTGCAGAATCTACCAGCAAGATTTACATCGGCCTATCAGAGACACCTTTCAAAGCCCGTCACGCCAACCACCTGACCTCCATGCGTCATGAAAAATACAAAAACAGCACTGAGCTCGCAAAACACGTATGGGAGCTGAAGAGCGAGGGAAAGCCGTTGACCATCACATGGAAGGTGCGGGAGAAGAGCCGATCATACAGATGTGAGTCAAAAAAATGCAATCTTTGTACCGCGGAAAAATTCCACATCCTGACTACACCCAAGAAGCTCCTACTCAACAAGCGGTCTGAGATGGTCTCGAAGTGCAGGCATGAGAATAAGTTCCGCCTCGCAAATTTCACACCTATCACATGAACTGACCAAGTACTGTACTGCACTTTGCCTGAGCACCCATTATTATAAAATAACACAATCCCTTGGCCTGTTGTTGGCGATGCCACTCTGCTCACGCCTGCCCGTCACCAAACGACTCCCTACTTGTAGTGATCTCACTGGGCCACTGCCCGCCACCCTCCTGGCACCCCCCACACATCTGCTGTACACTGCCTCCCCATCGCCTCTTTCCGCGCTTTCATGCTCACACCTGCCTGTTGCCCGCCACCCTCCTGGCACTTCCACGGTCGCGCCTTGGCCCGCGCCAGCTTTCTCCCCATACCTCACACCAGATTTAGCGCTAAATTTGTTTATGCTTGTGGCCCTATGTGTTTATAAGCATACTGTTGGGTAGACCAGAGTATCAGTTGTCTGATGATTGCCTAGGGGCATGAAACTCAGAGTTACAACCAACCTGAACGTCCTCCGCTGAGTCTGCTATGTACTAAGCTCTGTCTCTGACATTGAGCACTCTCTGCAGCTCGGGGATCAACGGATTTTGTACCCTATGTGTATGTACATTGTCATTGGGATCTTCCCTAGTGGTACATAGTACTATTGAGATACCGAATTCAAATGAAGCGATACAAATGCAATACTTCTGACGTATAATACAATACCTTGGGCATGAAGACAGAGTATTACATCCCATTGAGGTATACTGTACACTGGAGTCGCATTGTACTGACCTAGGAGTGTATGGCACTTTACAATTCCTGCTCCCAAACATGGTCACGGCAATGTGGACAGCAGGCCCCTGGCATCTGTCACTACAGGGTTGGGTTGCAGATACAGTCAGACCTCGCTTATCCGGTCCTCTTCTATCCGGATCCCTCGCCATCAGGAAGAAAATCGCTGGTTACCGATTTACAGCATATGCCATGCATAGATATAGTATGCGTGTTTGATTATCCGGTTCCCTCGCCTATCCGGACATTTTTGTGGAAACGGATGTGTGCGGTTATATGAGGTCTGACTGTAGTCTCTTTCTCATAATGATGAGGCGATGGTGGGTGTCAGGCAATGGCGTTCTTGCAGTGTACAGTGATGTTCTGTCTGCCACCTCTGGAATTACTGATATCCCTGCAGGCTGAGAGTATTGTGGGACAGTTATCGCAGAGCAACAACAAGACCGACCAGAAACCCTGGACTTACAAGCCCTACAAGATTGCTGTGGATGACGACAAGCAGAAGAAGAAACGCCTGCGGACGAAAAGCAAGCCACGTAATCCGGCCTTTGCCAGGGTGTTCAAGTTCCTCAGCTGCCAGTGTGCCAAGCCGGGGAACGAGCAATGTGTCGTGGATTGCTACGATGGCCGGCATGTGAAAATCAGCGAGAGGTGCTGGGCAGGGGATCAGAGCGAGACAACGATTACTGCAACTGGCGCCAGGGTAATCTTTGCGCAGCTCAACAAGGCGAGCTCAAAGTCCAATACACCACATTCATACTCAGCTGGATGGCCACGTAGGGATCAGCATCGATTCGTGTCTGGATTCTGCGAGCGAATCGAGTGTCAGTACCGGACTGAAGAGCAAATGTTGACGGAGAGGAATGGCACCTGGTGGCTGACATGGAGTAATCCGTGTGCTACGGAGTGTCACTGCACTGGACCGCTGTGTTCGGTGTGCCTAGACGGCTACATCCGCTTGCCCAGCTCCATAGTAAGTGCTGCCCTCCGCCTTGGCTACTCTGAACACTTTCTGTCACCCCAGTCTGCATGCATACCTTGGTCTGAGTGTTGTTCTGTTCATTTCTTTCGGAGAACGTGCTAACATTCATGTTCATTCGCGCGTGCGTGTATCTTTGAGGGCCTTTGCGAGCGGTGGCCTAAAGCTGTGTTCACAGCTGGCGCGTGGACGCGGTACGCTTGCGGTTCATGTGTGCCCAAACGCGCGCTCAGGCTTTCACAAAAACGTCAATTCGACTCATAGTTAGGGCGAGTACCAATTTTTTTACCCCGCCAGTCAAAGTGCCTGGCATGTACGCTGGTACGCGCCTGATACGCGCTGAAAATTCCAACATGCTGGAATTTCCATTTCGGCGCATTTCCGCACGCATGGCGCCCCAAAAGCCAGCAAAAATACGCACGAACATGTGGTTTCACGCGTACACGCTCCAGTTGTGAACACAGCTTTAGACATAGCACAGAGACCAAACTCTCCATTGTCAGATATGCGCTATGAAGAATGTACAAGCTTCCAAAAGCTTGCAACTCCTTGCAGGTTTGCTTAAATGTTTGTCTGCCGGAGGTTAAAGCTCAGATCACGTCAGGAATGTTTTTGATGTAAGTTCACTGGAAATTTCCCGACAAGGCGATGCCAAATCTGAACAGCTACTCACATTATGGTATCGTCGCTGCATCAAAACTCTATCGATATTGAATCACAAAATGTTCGGCCATCGCCCTCAGGATGAAACAATATCATTCCCCTTCTCCCTTCCTTGCCGTGGTTGGCTAACACCCTCTCTCTTTGTATTGGCCGGTGTTCTCACTGTGCTATGAGATGCTGTAATAAATAAATAAATAAACCCGAAGTGTCAGAGAAGTTCTCTCAATCATATGATGAGACACAAAAATGTCATTATTTCTCACTGAGTGTGCATGCTCATTATTGAGATATTGAGATATTGAGATGTTTGTAACGGCAAAGAGTCCATGTGTGTGTAGGTGTTTAGATTAGGTAATGTGTAGATAGTTGCAATGGAGTTTCAGAATCATCGTAAAGGATATAAAAAAAAAGAAGAAGATGGTAGCATACTGGCGATCCTCAAATGAAGAATGATCAGAGAAAGTTGGGGAAACTTGTGTGGCGGTTTTGAACTGCTGTTTGCCGTCTGGTGTATTTCCATGAAAATGCTTGCATTGGTTGTGGAGCACGTGGGGTGAATGTTTGCTATGTGAGGCCAGCAATGCATACAGGGTTGGCCATGATTGCGAGGTGATTTACTCTGTTTACTGTTTAGTCGCATGGGAATACTGACGATGGCTTTGGTTTTCTGGACAGGGCTGTGTGGATTGCCGCAAGGCCAAGTTCAAGATCCACTTCTGGACGTTCTTCCTGCTCATGACACTCGCCAGTCTTCTACTGGTTGTCGCGCTACTCTTGCTCAACATCGGTGTATCCCCGACTTTGGACAGCTGGTACTTGTTCACACAGGTAAAGCGGCCAAAGCAACACACATGGATCTTCCATTAGCTTGAACAATGGATATTATGAAAATGAACGGCTCTGTTTGCAGATTCTTCCCTGGCCCATGGTGGGCTTACAATCTAGTATACAATGTATATTTGTCTGGGCCATTTTGATTATGACCAACTGCAGCTGTTCTGTAACATATCCGGCTATTCATCGTGGCATAGTGGACAGCTGTTGCGTGCCGTGAATACATTTGGCCTGGGTTTGGTGTGCCAGTACAAGTCTGTCACGGTACCGCAAGCCAGCACGTCCCAGCTCTTCATTCCACTGTTCATGGTGATCGTGACTCTTGTCATGTGGGTCATGGCCCGGCGAGGTGTGGCTACTCCGGTCTGGAAGTTTTTCCAGAAACGCAACTCCATCATCCAGGTGTTCTGGCTCGTCATTCTGTGCTCGTCGTACCAATTAGCGTACGTTTCCATGACGATACTGCGCAAGGCAGATCTGAGCGGCAAGCCGGTGGTGTTCCACGACGGGACCTTGAGGTACTTTGGCCCGGAGCACTTCCCGTCCGCCGTGATAGCCATTTGCACGCTTGTGTTCGTGGTGCTCCCTATGCCGGTTCTGTTGCTATGGTGACCGCTGCACATCTGGCCGTCGCTGCTGAGCATTCTGGACGAGGCGACACACATCTACGAGCCGCACCGGCAGTGGTGGGCGTCGGTGAACGTGATCCGCCGCCTGGCCTTTGCCGCCATCCACTCGCTGACACCCAACGTTGTGGTGCGGCGCGTGACGTTTACACTGATGCTCTGTATATTCCTAGCCGGTCACTGCACATTCCGGTGAGTGTTAAGCATGCATGCAATGCTACACTTTTAAGACGGCACCTCACAAGATTCATGATGTTGATGCCCTATGTGGTCTGATGACTGGTTCAATTGCCATGAATGTCGGAAGAAGAGACACAGCGTAGGGAGCGACGCACAATGGGGTTTATGCATAAAATATGGCCGCCACCTTCCTGAGGGGCAACTTGTCCTATATTTGGCAGGTACAGCCAGTTGTTGTATGTTTGTGGATACGATCGTACGCAGTTTCTGACCTTTGATGCAGGATTGGCATCACAGTGTGTACCGTTTAGGGGATTTGCCCCTCAAGATCAAATGGCGGGAGTATTATGCATAAACCCCATTCCCCGTGAATCTCGGAGTTACAACTAAACAAAGCCGGTTCCTCGCAATTGTGAACTTGTGATGTTGATACATGTGTATTGCTGGTCCTATGCTGTGAGCCTCCTCTCTACTACACTCTGCAGGAAACTTACGGAAAAGGTTGCCTGTCGACGAACAACTGTTCAATTCAGCTGCCATTCACTCAAATTTCTCACTCAAAGCGCAGGGTTGATTTAGTTTATTACGTCCTCTGAAGTTAGGATGTTTCGGGCTGGTCACCCGTTGTCCGAGCTCTGCTGCGTGTATGTTTGTTGATTTAAACTAAAAATGTTACGATTCTGTCCCAAATCAGATGTGCCATTTTCCTTTTAGATGTAAATTATTTTGTCGGATTCAAGTAAAACTCCTTAATCCTCGTCTGTTGATTTCAACTAGGCCGTTCAAGCGAGGACGCACGGTGTGGCGCTTGCCGGATGCCGACAATCTATTCGAAACCGGCATCCTGCTACTGTTGACGTTGCTGAGTATCGTGGACATTGTTCAGCAGGATGTGCCTAGCTCCGGGGATGTGATCGCTTTGGGCATCTGGGCAAAGCTGGCCATCTACATTGGCGTAACCATCGTCTCGTTCGCAATCGGCTTCCACAACTACACGCGCAGCTGGCATCACACTCTGACGAGACAGCCGCGCCGCACCGCTCAGGACGTATGTCTGGTAAGCAGCAGTGACAGCGATGACGATGATGATCCCGCGGCTGAGAATGCTGACTCAGGTCAAACCGAACAGCAAAACGTTTCTTCTAGGGACCACCGGCGCTCATCCAATTCAGTACGTGGTGCTTTGGCAATTTGGATACTTGGTGGTATAAGATGCATGCAAGATACGCTTTGCTTGCAGAAGTATCAGTTGGTTTGTAGAGCGTGTC